CTTGGGTCTCTTGGGTCTCGAGGATCCCGATTTGGATCACCCTGACGGTTAGGGTCGTGATCGTTGGGATTGCCCGACATTTGTGTTGTTGGGGCAGAGTAAGACGAGATGAGTCAAGGATGCAGGGATGTGACGTCGAGTTATTGAGAAAGGGAGAGATCGAATCACACGGACAAAGTGAGCATAGCGCGGTCACGCAGGGGAAGGGGAAAAAGGGCAGATGCAGGAAGATCCCCAAAAAAACCGAAACAGAAAAAGGAAATAGGAAATAGGGAAGAAGAAAAAAATATAAAAAAAAAGAAAAAGAAAAAGAAAAAGAGAAAGAGAAAGAGAAAGAGAAAGAGAAAGAGAGAGCCTCGGTGATTATGACGTGAGCAGGTATAAGGAAGTTGAAAACCCCACGACAAGATAAGCAGAGAAGAGAAGAAGAAAAAGAAGCTCAGATTGGAATGGGCAATAAAGGAAATAAAAGGAAATGAATTATTTGATTGGAAAAGCACAGGGGAATTTTTAGAGAACGGGGTGGAGCCCGGGCAGCGCGGGCTAAAGCGGCGCCAGTGACCCATAGACATGGAGGGGGGATTACCTAGGTACTGTAAAGTGTATCTATACCGTGGACATACGGTTTGTGTGTGTCCAACAACATGCATGGATACATCGAGTGGGATGACCTTACCTAGGTACCTTACGCTCTCATTTCGTCAAGTGAAACATGGGAGACAAGGCTTCGAACCATGGATTTTAATCTAGGGTACCAGATTTCCGCTGCTATGAAGCCGAGAACGGCGACCGCTTTAATTTTCTGGTTTTCTTTTCTTCGTTTATTTTTATTTTTATTATTTCTTTTTTCAACTAGCAGTAGCGCCCGAGAGTAACTTTCCACGTTTTGCCACTCTACATACAGTGCTACTTGGAACAATATACAGAATAATAGTAGAAAGAGTTCTACATCAGAAAGATTATTTCAACTGTCAAAGTTGACATCATCAATAATGTGGCAGGTGACCTCTCATTTGCATGGATCAATCCATGCACGTCAATTCCTCCGAGTGACCCTTGCTGCGTAACCCGTCCATGGACGAACGACCGCCTCGGACCGTAGTCGCACAACCGCAACCGGCCCCGCGGAACCAGGATCATTTTCCATGGCGATGGGCTCGGGTCGGGGCGACACATGCATATCGGGGTTGACATGATATGATATGATTTGATTGTATTTTATTTTTTTTATTCAAACCATCTAATCATATTATTATGTACCCTATTGTGGTTTTTCTTACTTTAACCAGGACTACCTAGTTTATCAAAGTACATGAAACTACTGCATGTAGGTAATATGAAAGAAAAATTCAAGCGGTGAATGTGTGGCGATCAGACTTCAGCTGAGGGAGTGGGGTTCAGCTGGACCACTCGCCACTCTTCAACACGAAGAATATCCATAAGAAGACAAAAGTTGGATACGGAAGTATGGTGCAAAGTCTGTGGGAGGAAAAAAAATTGTGGCGAGAGCGGATCCCTTTCTTTCTATGGCTGAAATGAACCAGGCTTTGGAGGGAAAGAGGGAGAGAACAAAGGGGGTGGAGTGCCCTAAGTTCCCAGGGCTGTAGCACTGGATCCAGAAAGCCCATCATGAGCCAAGGTAACCTGCATTAGCGCTGCGCTGACAGGGCGGGTTCCTTGTCCAAGAGCCACAACCACGTTGTACGGGGGGGCTATTTAGCGTACGCCCCCCGTCACCGCCAATCCCTGATGAAGTTTTCAGCCCAAGTCATCTACAATGTACAGGAAATGTGGGTTCTAAGTTATAATATGAATAATAGCAGATAGTCATAGGGACGGAGGGGGAAAAAAAAATTCTCCCCCACCCTCGCAACCATGGATTAAATAATATATCGAGTAAATTGTAATAATACGAGTACTATTGCGCAGGATTAATCAATCAAGTTTCGGGGTACTTGTCCCACGGGCCGCTCCGGCCTTCCCGCCGATCTATGCATGTGTGCCATCTGGCAAAAATACCTCGGGGGTTACAGTACAGTATTTATTTGTCTGCGTCTCGAGAACACATATATCTTCTAGTCTATCATCATAAGCATCATTGAGTTGTCTTAGATACTTACATATGCATAATATTATTATAGGAATACCCACTAAAAATAGGTACCTGTATATAGTGTTCGGTTTAGATTTCCGATTTCATAAATATAGTACTAGTATGTAAAATATGGGTAATACGGAGTAAAACGGCGTAAATGGAGTACAAATATAAGACAATCCTTTCAGGCCACGTTTTTCGAACCCAATCGACTGCATTGCCGTCCGCGTCTTTCCGTTCCCCACTCTCAGGCGTGGCCTGTTCAGCTTTGTCCCTCTAGTCTAGCGTGCTCTCCGGAGACTCTCTAAGATCCACCCGATCCAAAGATGCTGGCCACTCGATGCTGTTTGCCCTGAGGACGCGCTAGCTGTCCTCAAAACTGGCCCATCCGATAGGGACTGAGCGCTGCTTGTCGAAACTGAAAGCCCAACGCTAGGGGACCCATTCCGACCGGGCCTTTTGCAGGCTGCGACGTTCCATCGTAAAGTTTTTATTATTTACGATATATAATATTTTGTACTTGTTCTGGTTTCAACTTTGCATTTAGTGTAATTTTCTGAGTTTTCGTTCCAATTTCAAGGTTTCTATTATCGATAAAACCCCTCCTTTACCCACACGGGAGCGCGTCTATCAGCAAGGATGGAGACGGGTCGGGCACTAATAGGCGCAGCCCGCATGTCGTTACAGTCACGGGAACACCATATGCACTAATATAGTAAACTGATATACAACATAGTAATGGGTAAAAAAATAATAGGGAGGCCAAGGTCTGTGCTTGGGATCTGACGTGGCGAGGGTTTTTTTTTTCTGCACTGAGCCGGAACGAGGCAGTGCTTTCAGAGTCGGTGTACAACAAACTCGAGCGTGCAGGTCGTGTGATGAGAGATGCCTGATGACTACCTGATCCTAGGAAAAGCATATGTGAGATCGGCAAGTCATCAGTAGCCGAGCCTTTGATCTTTCTTTGCTCTTTGATTCTCTTTGGCTTGAGCAAATCTCTTATTATTATTATTTTTCTATGTGATTCGCGTAATGTTCGCGTCTGATTGGTGCTTCCCACCATTGTCTATACCTCGTCAGTCACACACGTGAGACCAAAACTGGGACTGCCATGCTGCACGCTAGACCTCCCCAACTATATTCGGGCGCCATTCGGGAGACAACGCGAGTCAATCTCACTTTGCTTTTTCTGGATGCTGTTTGCCAAGTGGTTTCTCGGGATCGTGCGTGGAGCTAGTGACTTTGACATACTCAATTAATGTGCGGCTTACCCGATTTCTTTTTGCTTTTTCAAGTAGCTTTTGCTTATTTGGGCTTGCTTTTAAACTTTTCACATTTGAAACTACCTAAATGTTTTCGGCTAGATTGGATTATGTGTTGTGTGATTTGCATACAGATGCACCTAGGGTACGGTATCACTAATCTAACTCAACTGCAGGGGCCTCGTAAAATTGACCGACTCTCTCAAGGTTTGAAAGGTCGATCCCCGCACGCCCAGGCATCTACCTTGATCGCTGGGTTTGGATTGATTGGCTGTTGCGAATCAACAAACATCATGCATGTCGATGCACGATGGCTGAACAAACAAGGCAAATTGTGACATGTGATTATTTCTACCCTAAACGTTTAACATCAAGTGTATACCTAGCTATCTTGTCAACCCGTGAGCGATCCATGGATAGAATATAGATTCGATATGGTTCGAGAATTGAGATATCGATCCGATTAGTATATCTAGGGAACATGAGTGGCTGCTCAAGCAGATGATTAAGACCTATAGTGACTGTGAACTGCGAGCCCATAGCCCTAGATAGATAGGCCCTAGGAAGTCAAAGGAACATTTTATATCTTTTGTATATTCTATTCTTTATGTATCTAGTTACTTATCCAAGGCTACCACTTTTGAACTTTGTGTCCTAAGTGTTTAAAAAACCACGTATCAACTTGTTCTTAGAGCGTACAATTGTGTATGTCCTCATATCGATTTCTCGAATATTACTGGGGATCTCTCTGCGATTTACAAGCAACCTTAAAACACCATGACCCGGAGTCTTCGGGGCACAGTTCCCGATACTAGTGGGAATGTCAATCTTGGTTTTGATACGTGAAGATCCACGACAATATACTGGCAGACAGAACATAGCCCATGATATAGCTGCTCAATTATCTGTATCGCGGACAGCCGAGTATCGAGTTGATGCATGACCACCAAGAAATTCTGGACTGATACCCGTGAACCCTGCCTAAAATGAACAGCCTCGACTAAGAATCAAAACTTCGCAATGCATACCAAACACAGGCAGGATGCACTACGAAGAAACAAAACAATACCACCCAGTCAAATAAATGGAGTCCATTCCAGAGAAGGAAGGTGCACATCCCAAAGCCCAAAATCTGGGACGGTGGAGTAAAACTATCCGGGCCTCAATCCACATTGCCTGCAGGCCCAAGTTTAGCCTAGCGGGCATGCCCGACAACGGGCCGAACGCGGGCGCTTGCGGTGGCGATATCATGCGTCAACTGAGTGCTTCATTTAATTTTGAAATTTCTGTGTTCTTTTGTTTGCATAACTATGTTGTACATTTGAGATTTGGCTGGGGAGGAGTGGTAGATTGCAAAAAGGTTAAATTGAATATTGCACACGAGGGGCTTCGCAGCCATTGGGCGCTGGCACGGGTAGCAGGGTTGAGTCGAAGTGTCTGGAACTGCATATGTGTCATGTTGAGGGGAAAGGCAGTAGTAATGTCTCAATTTGGAGCGTTGCCCGCATGCTGTAGTCCTATGCAGGGTGCAGCAATGCAGCAGTGCAGCAACTAGAGGTGATATGACTGCAGAGCAAGTGTTAGGTATGTTATTTGGCCCCGCGCCAGTGTTAGGCCTGCAGTAGCAATCCAGGAAACGCGGCGGGGACTGACGAAAGAAGCCATGTGCATGAGGCGTCAAGGTGGGGGATGGGATCCCGGTTTCAAGTCCAGGAATTGCAAGAGACAAAAGACCCGAGCTAAGGCAGATGTCGAATGAGAAAAATAAAATGGAGAAAATTCGACAGGTAACAAATACGAACAACTTCATACCATAACTCTCATATCACACACGCATGCCCAGAAGTAAATGGTAAGGTAAAACAGAACCGAGTGATCTCTCCCCCTCCCGCGAGGTCCCGTCCAATGCCAAATAGGCGCGAGTGATTTTCCCCAATCATGTCACTGATCGGGCATCACTACACTGTTGAGGTACGTCACCTGTTCGAGAAACAAGAAGCGGTCAGCAGTCAGCAATACAGAGTATACAACATAAAGGTTATTGTCTCAACACCCTTCCGATTCTGTCAAAGCGGGAAGGGCGAAAAAAACAACAATAATAGTGACACCAGTGCTGATTTGGGTGGGTAAAGGGGACGGCTAACACCGCCAAAGTGGCTAGCTCAGAAGGGAAAACAGACTAGTTAAGAGGGGGCAAAACCGGCGGGAAAGGGAAATCGGGGGGATCGATAGATTGGAAAAGGGCTTACGAAAGGCTCCATAACCCCAACCAAAGCAGCAATCTTCTCTTGGGCATCGTCTCCAGTGAGTTCATCGTCCGCAATGGGCTTTCCAATAGTGAAACTGCGTAGTCGAAGTAATTTGATGTTCTTGTTGTCTGCCTCGTAACCCTAGAAGGTGTGTCAGCGGGAAATCCCTTGGATCAGACGTGGAGCCTGGCGCATGTGTGAACCATGGAACCAAACTCGACGGCGTGAGAATAAATCCCCTTCTAGCAAGTGCGATTTCCCCATTGAGATCAGACTGTCAAATTGCTTTCCTGTGTTCCATGGTTGCGTCTCGGGAGCAAAAATTGGCCTAAAACACGGGTTGGCCTTTCCCGTAACCCCGTGCGCGTGTCTTCCACATCTCTTTTGATGGTTTGAAGCACATGAAGCACACTTGGAACGCTTGGATTCTCTCGAACCGTCATGTGCCAATTTTCTGTCATCTCTGACCGGGTGAGCCGTGGTCGCGTCCAGCAGCCCGACCAAGGCATCTCTTGGCCAACCAGAAAGATCTGGTCTTCATGATCTCATCAGACCATTGCCATCAAGCTTTGAAGATGGTACTGGTCGATGAAGGCGGGAGTAATTTCCGTTTCCAAGACCAACCCCGGTCGGACGATGGACGCAAACACGATAGCGAACCTTGTGCCCCCTGCTTCCCAGACATTCGCGTCCCAGCCCATAAATAATAAACAAACAGCTGACAATGCAACCGAAGCAGAAGATGGTGACGGGAAGGCGTACAGTCTGTCTCAATGGACAATATACTTCACACTGAGGTAGGGGGGAAATAGACAACAGAAAACCTCATACCTTGGGCTTCGTCTTGAGAGCAGACTCCCTATTGTGATGCGTAAAAGCGTCCACAACCGCATCGTCATCGTCGGACGCTCCCTTCAGAAACTCACGACGCATCTCCGGCGCCCGGAGTACCTCCTTCAAGCCAGCCGAGTTCTCGTCGATGTCCTCTCGCAGCAGTGCAAGTGGCTCTGACTCGGGGTTCCACAGCCCGCAGCCTATAAACAGCGTGGTATTAGCCGCACTGGATGAGAATCACAAAAGGAAAGGCAGGATGGCGACGGCGACAGCGGAAACCAGCCGGGGGAACAACCTACCAACAAAACAAGAGCCTGGCTGGAAGTGGACATAGTATGCTGCGTACGGGCCCTTCTTACCAGTCCGTGACCTGCACCATGTTCAGTCACTTGTCCATTAAAAAAGAAAACTCATCGAACATTGACACTTACCAGGCAGCAGAGAAATGCGTCTATACATTTTGAGTCAGCACAAGCACCTCTAACGAGCCCACAGTACCACACGCATGCCCACCACATGCACACATGCGACAGGGACCCGGAGGGGAAGATAGCCTACCTTGTACGGAAGTGGGTTTTTGCTGAAGCGAACATCCCTGTGGATGCGGAATACCTGGGGAGAAAGTTCATGAGCGGGCACAAATAAAAGGCAGGAGTATTTGCAAGCCTACCAGGTCCTTCACAGGAAGTTCGGGGACGGTAGCGTCCACCTCCGCAATCTTTGGCGTGAGGGACTCAAGGAATGTCTCAAAATCCTTCTTTGCCGCTCGGTAATCCGGATCATGCGCTGCGCAGGTCAATCAGCAACTCTATAACCGGGGTATATGTGCGCTTCTCACCTTTTAGCCATTGGCGATCATTGTTGCTAGCTAGATCGATCAAAAACAGCCTGGTATTGGGATGCAGCGTCTCATCCTGGTACGGGATCTTCCCCGCGTCTCGGGCTTTGGGCTTTGCGATGATAACTTCTTGCCCGGGCTTTAGGCCCACTCTGACGCCCTCGCGCCAGAGCTCCTTGCCCTTCAAAAGGTCGCTTCCGCTACTGGTGCCCTGTCGTTGCTTCCCCCGCGCGCTGGGTTTCTTCTTCGCGTCCTCGTCGGTGCCGGAGAGTTCTTCCGGCTCCGCATCGTCGGCGGGGGATTCTTCCTTTGCTTCCTCGTACACAGAACCAGAGGATCCCCCGGCAGAGGCATCGGACTCCGAGTCGGGCTCATCAGAGTCTTCCGGCTCGAAGTACTTGCTCTTGCTGGTCGTGGTCTTTGCCTGGCGGAGGGATAGGTCGACGTTTGACTTGATCCGTTTGACCTCCGGTTCGGCGGCGGACAGTCTGGCTGAAGCGCGTCGCTTTGACGCCATAGGCGCTTCAGGCGACACAGGATCAGGCCGATATGACCGTCGAGGCATACTTAGATAGATGAGTTGAATGCAAATGATCGAACTTGGCAATCTTTTTCCCTTTCTTCTTCTATACAAGGAGTTGAAAATTTCTGGTATTGTATTCGCCTGGAGACCAAGAAAAGCGAAGAAGCAAAATACTGTAGATGAAGATAAAAGTGATAAATCGAATAAACCGAATAAAACCCAAAGGGCCCGCATGCCTTAAAAACCGGCTGTAATAAACGGCTCCGCTTTTAGTACTGGCGCCCTTACGTTGTTTTTTTTTCCCGCTTCTCCCCCCGCCCCTCAGACGTATCGTTTGTACTTTAAGAGACATCAAAGTTAGTTGTTAAAAAGGGATGTTAAGCATTTCAAATTTGTTGGAAATAACTGTTTGGTCCAAACAATGAGTATAAATTCCGATCTCGATCTGTAGCTGAAGGAACTGATCGGGAATGAGACTGGGTATGCGATATCGGTGGTCATTTTGGGCTGACAACCACTAGTACTGGTAGCTGTGCTCAACATATTGCTGTCTTTATGGGGGTTGCAGAAGGTCATTGATTTCGCCGGCCAAGCACATTTGTATGCTGTCTCATACTGTTTCATACTGTCTCATGCTGGATACCCTGGTATGTCTCTTATGCCTTTCTCCAAGTCCTAAACCCATAAAGTTGGCTATGCAGAATCGCAGAATGGGCGTCTTAGCATGGTATACAGCGACCGTAAGTTACCCGAAAAAGTTGAAGACCATGCACTCCATCTAGCATGCTCCTATCATGAGCATCCCGGTGTATCACGCCCTCACTTGAAGGATGCGGTCATATCTTGCAACGGGGAGCGTTGGCCGTGTCTCGATGTTACTACTAATCCAATATAACCTCACCCAACAACTCAGTTGGTACTGATCAAAGCGCTTCGCTGAGTGCCAGTCATAATCCCTCCTCTGTCTCCCTAACCGTATTGTAGCTCGCGCTCGTTTGGTCTCTATAAGGGTCGATGGTTTGCTGTCGTGATAATGAGAACTCTGTTGGTAGCAGCTGAGGTCTGCCCTCCCACAACTTGGTTACAAATGTATGTTTCGAGATTCGCCGACAAGTGCTGGTAGGTGTGTCGTTAGGACTGACCTTGCTGAGTGGTCAGAGATTCTTGTCTGATAAATATATAGTTCCAAGATCGAGATCAAGAGACAGAAGCCAAACCAGGAGCATAATAGTCAGAAAGAAGACATTGATGTGCTTAAAGAGAGACAGCAAGTACGAAGTCAGAGCACAGGCCTAGGGACTTTGGCAGTCACCTGGAAACCAAGAGGTGATACGGTAAGATTGCCCTAGTCAACCTTACCTTAGTGTCCTGCTCCTTCACTAGACTTACATTGATATCCTTCTATATGTATGTTGCCGTATAGCCTACATAGTCTACAAACAAGCAAAAACAACCCCCGCTTAAAGAAGGTCTACTAGAAACAAAAAGAACAAGAACGCAAGAAGTAAAAGCAAACGAAAGAATTAAACGCAGACTCAACCTAGCTAGTCGACTACCTGAGAAGTGACATAAAAGCTAGAAAAAAATGAAACTCATTTGAGTTTCGATCTCAGGGAGATCTCGCAACCGGCCAAGCACATCCCGAAGGCAGCAGCCGCGAGTGCTTGATCTCGCTGGAAGAAAAAGCAAACAAAAAAAGCAAAAAAGCAAATGGCGCATGCGCCGGGGAGACAAGGGTTTTTTTTTTGAATTAAGCTGGTGGACGTCTCCATACATCCACGCAGGAAAAACCGGGAAGGGGAAAGACCAGGAAGAAAAAAACCAGAGAGAAACACAAGACTGTTACCGTGCTGATGGACCAGTACTCCTCAAGCGAGTACTGGTCTGGGTATCCACCGCGTCCGATTACTTCTTTGCCGATCGGGTACCGCGGCCAGCAGCTCGGAGCTCATCAAACGCCTGGCGGTCGACGTTCGACAGACGGGTGGCATCGGAGCGAGAGCGATGGCCAGTTGGAGCAATCGAAGGGACAGGGCCGAATGGATCAGAGGACGACCGAACGTTCTGCGCGGTCGGATGCGGAGCTCGGTACACAGGCTGGATGTCAGCCTGGCTCTGAGTTGAGCCAGCGGCGGGTGCATCCTGAGTTTGAGGCATACGCCAGCTAATAGACTGCTTGCCGGACTTGGTTGTATCGGATCGTTGATGCGGCGGAATGTAGGGAGGGACCGATGGGCGAGGCCGATGAGTGGGGGTGTCCAGCAGATATTGGTCAGCATCAAGTTGCTGAGAGCTACCACGGGAGTTACCAGAGACATTTCGGTTGTGACCATGCTCACGGAGGCTCCTAGTCATATTGCTGGCGGCCGAAACAGTCGAGCTCTCCTGAGAAGCAGGGCTGGGATCCACCGAGCCACTCTGAGCTACCGAGATTGTGCGCTGACTATCAACTGAGGTGTGACTGTGGGTGGGGGATGAGCCAGGGGCCGTGCCAATGGTTGATACGCTAGATTTTCTTCTGTGAAGCTGCTGGAATCCAGTGATTATGAACTTCCGAAGAACACTGGCTTCGTAGATAATCGCATCCTTGAAGACCTTGTTACCGGCAACGTCATCATCCCACTCAAACCAGAACCGTCCGAAGATTCGCTCAATCTCAGGGTGAGTGTGCTTGTTGGGTAAACCGTCATTCTCGGTGCGCAGAACGGAACCGTTGGACATAACGTAGGCGTAAAACTATACCGATAGGAGAATGAATTAGCGATCTTTCAAAAGAAGACAACATCTCAACCGCATTTCGTACCTGAATAGCCGCAGAACTCTGTCCGGGCACATATGTCAAGGTATCAAATGGGAAATAAAGGCACCAATCATGGTCCAATGACTCAATCCCTTTCTTATCCTTTGACCACCAAGCAAAGCAATATTTCATGCGAGGATTGAAACCAGGGCAACTGATTCCTGCATGAACCAACTCGTTGAGAAGGCGGATGTCCAAGCCCACAGTGTTTGTCTTCTGCATACGCTCCACCAGAGTCCTGATCAACGTACCAAGAGTCTTGAAAAGCGCATTGCGGTGATGAACGGTGTAAAGATGAGTTGCATGCCACGGAAACTATACCAAAGACAAAGAATGTAAGTATGACATGGAAGGGCAAACGGAGATGTAAGGACAATGAATGACATACTTTCCAGATGGTGGTGATGAACGATTCATAACAACGTTGAGGAACCTTGTTAGCAAATGCGCTCTGCAACGTGTTAGAAGATCAGTGACATGAAAGTGAAGAATATAAACGGGAAGTCAGACGTACACGGTGAGGTTGTTCGGCGTGCCGAGTGAGACAAAACAGTTCCTCGTCGGTAAGGAAGCCATCGAAGCCGGTAGACCAACTATCTTTGTTGACAAGCTGAACAGGTCTTCCATCATCCCACGAAATGCACTTCGCCCGAGGAAAAGTAGCCTTGAGCAGCTTGGCTGGGGTGCTGAGCTCTATGTCAACATGGCGGCTGCCCATACGTGGAGCGCTGCCAGCATCATAGGCACGATTGATCCGGTCGACAGTGTCTTCGGCATCCTTCTTTGTTGGGAATTCAACATAGCAGTCCATGGTCTTGCCAGTGGACCGTTCCATGATAATGTGAATCGGACATCCTTGAGAGGATGGGAGCAGGTTTGCACTGCGTCCAAGGAACGAGGCCACCTCCTGGCGAGTCACAGTGTAGGGAATCTGAGTATCATAACCGTCAGTAACAGAACACTGAACAATGCAGCAGTCAACAGGAATAATATAGTGAAAAGGAAACTCACGTTAGAAATCATCACAACACCATTGCGAGAAGGTGTGTGCATCTCAGCGATGCTAGCAAATGGAATCGAAGCTTGCTGAAGAAGCTCTTCGATCGAAAAATTTTCAAAGCGCTCGAAATCTCTTAAATTGGGGATCCCACCCAGGTCAAATGGCCAAGCCATGTTGTTGTCGTTGGATGGAAAAGGGTTGGGTTCGAAGACGTATGCTGTAGCAAGACTGTTATCAGTGGGGTTCAAACAACTTCAATGGTGATGGTACAGCTCAGCTGTCGACTGATCATGACAAAGGGAGCAAGAAGATACTTACTGGGAGGGGACTGATCAGTAAAGTCAACAGGATTGTGGTAGACTTGAGGTGTGGCCTCAGAAGGATACTGGTAGAATTGGGGCTGAAAGCCGAGAGGAGGGTAGGCTTGAGGCACGAATTCAGAAACTCCAGGATAGTGTCCAGGTGCTAAATTAAGACGCTGGTTTGCAGGAGGACGGATGGTAGAAGTAGAAGATGAACTGTAGTGATGGGATGAGATAAAAGAGGATGGGGTCGAAGAAAAGGCAGGATAAGATGAGACGACAGAAACCTGGGAAGGAACCTGAGCAAGAACTTGAGTAGAAACAACTTGAGTAGAAGCCTGGGGGCCTGAAATAGAATCAGAGGATGATTGCTTGGGAGGAGAACAATCATCGGCAATTTTAGAAGGTGAATGTTTGCGAGTGCCAGAGACAGTCGTAGTCACAGTCTGTGACTCTGGGAATGCATTTTCGTTGAGAGTCAATAAATCAAGATCAGCTGCGAGCATACTCATAGTCGCAGGCCATTCATCAAGTTTGGGCATACGCCCAGATTGTTCACTCATGGTTAGGGCTCGAGAATTCTGGAATAGATAGTGCGTGGAAACAAAAATATTTTCGAGGCAGAGTGCGTGTTGTTAAGAATGAGCTATTTATACGCGTGGAATTAAGCTATCCCGCGCGTTTACGAGTCCGTCGTGTTAGGAAGGTACTTAGGTTTGCCGAAGGATCGCTTGAATTACAGACCCCCTCTATAAAACCCTCGACTTTTGATCTCATTTTTCTCCATAAATTCGTATGATATGCCATTTTTTAAATATTTTTAAATTAAACAGAGTGAGCTAAAATAGTATATATATCATTTCCTTTAGCGCTGTCATTTGTGGTGATATTGAAGAAATTCATTAAAGTTCGAGGCTAGGAATGTCTCTGTATCTTGTCCAAGTCGTCCGAAGGTACGCGTTTATAGCGACGCACTCATGCTTGCGACGGTTACTTATTGCCACGCACCTGGTCCGCATTAACCCAAATTCCACGCTATTCTCGTGAATATTTCCAATTCGCCCAGCTTCGATGCAAACATTTCCTTACCACGCACTCATATACCCTATGCCTCCTAATTCCACGCACTGTACCCAGACAATATTTATTATCCACGCACTCCCAATTAAACTTAAGCCTTCTATATCCCCAACTAGCTGTTTTTGTCTGGACTGATATTCTCCACTTTATGCTCAAATTAGAAATTGTTGTCATTGTAAATTGACTTGGATATTCATATCCTAGACTTTTATTAGTATAAAACGCGTTCCCTCAATGGTGGCTCTTTGGCCTGTTACATTGCTCTGAGCCATGATCTTGGAGATGTATTGTGTTACTGTTGTCAAGACACCTTTGGCGTCCGGTGTAGTTCCTTTCTTCACTTATTACTATATAGCGCTATGGAGGTAATTTCCGTCTTGATGGGGAGGAACCAGGCCATACGAGAACAGTAGGCTAGCATACCCGGCGAGGTACTACGCCGGTGGAAAGGGTCTACTGTGCTACAAAAAAAAACGGATTGAACCTGGACAGAAAACATCGATCGACGGACATCGGTATAAGGTTCTCTCTTAATCAATGCAAGCCTATGCTATCTGTACAGGAGTAGAAAGTGGGAAACATAGGGCCATTCATTATTCGGAATCAACAAGAAAACGCTGGGCAATTTAATCGAACTGAATGATCGTCAGCAATTGAATCAATGATGGAAAACCCAATAATAACATACCGGTGTGAGGAAAGACTCAGCAACAAATCGAGCACGGGCATTCAACTAGTGAGCTGTTAGTAACTTGCGACGAAAACGATGCATCTGTACACATACGAAGAGCTTCATCTCCGAAATCTCCTTGTCCACCTCTTCCATGAATTCGATCACGAAATCGATTAGCTTGTGGGTAAGCATCTTTTCCGTGTGGAAGTTCGTAATGAGGAAACTGATATCATATCCCTCCACTGGCTTCCGGCGCAAAATGAAGAAAGATTCCGCTCGCTGGGTGAGGAACCGAGTGAACTTGTGGACAAGAATGTGCTCAATCTCATCTGCCTGCTTGATTCTGATACTTATGCGTACAGAATTGTAGCTTGGCTCAATTTTCACCTTTTCATTTTCATTCCTGCTGATGTGCAGCCTGGAAAACCATCAATATGTTTGTCCAATGCGACCTGGGGAGAAATGACGGTCAAACGTACGGGTTCAGTAGGATCTCGGGTGAAGAATTTGCCTCGATCTCTGGGCAGTTGCTAGTGGAACCGAGTATATTAGCATCTTCCATGTCTAATATTTGCAGCATGGGCAACTTACTGCCGCTCGGATGTCTGAGAAGCGAAGTTGGAGATCGTAAGAGCCGCGGTCAGAGAGGACCGAACACTGGTAAAGTAAGTGTGAGGAAGCTTGCCGCTGAATACTTGTCAAAGGTCGAAACTCACGCCTGGAGGTAGGGCCGGAGAGATTGACTCTGATAATCAATTAGTATAGAGCGGGCTGGCTGATTGGAGCTGTACCCACCATGATGAGGGGTGTTTGTCGTGGTCACGAGGATCCGATCGTCACGGAGGATAATACAGTCGAGGGCTGGTTGAGGAGAAATTGAAATTAGCCCGTTGTGAGGACCCTTCGACCCAAAGAAGTGAACGAGAAAGGCAGTTCTCTGGATAACAGGTTGTCCTAGGCAGAAGAGGAGTTGACGTCGGGGTGGGCGGTGATGATAGTGGTTGGGCGGTGAGAAAGCCCCCACGCTTCCTCGTCCCAGGCTGTTTACCATTTGCCCCAGCAGTCGCAAGCTCTTTCAAGCTCTTTATCTTTCTCACATCATCCATCCCTAAAACTTATTGAAAATGGCGGCTATACCAAGTATGTATGAATGTATTAACAATCCCTGGACCACTACTAACAGATACACAGTTATTGTCAAACACGCCGGCAAGCGCCACGAAGTCGAGCTCGATCCTACGTCGAACGGCGAAACACTCAAGTACCAACTCTTTTCCTTGACTGGTGTGGAACCCGACCGCCAAAAGGTTTTGGTCAAAGGTGGCCAGCTTAAAGATGATACACCTCTTTCGTCACTTAATGCCAAACCCGGGCAGATGTTCATGATGATGGGCACTCCGTCAGGAGGTCAAGGTTCCGCTGACCTTGGTCGGCCAAAGGAGACCGTCAAATTCCTGGAAGACATGACCGAGGCCGAGGTGGCACGACAGGAGGGTGCCACCCCTGCCGGTTTGCAGAACCTGGGGAACACATGCTACCTCAACTCTTCCCTACAAACCTTGCGGAGTGTCCCGGAGCTTCAGGAGGAGCTCCTGCGGTATCGGCCAAGTGGAGGAGCTGGACAGTCGAGTCTGTCAGACCTCAGCAGCTTTGGTATTGGTGGCCTTGGAGGTTCTCGGGATTTGGCCGCTTCCCTGCGAGATCTGTTCAAGCAAATGTCCGAGACGCAGGAGGGAATTCCTCCACTGATGTTCCTCAATGCTCTCCGAGCCGTCTTCCCTCAATTCGCCCAACGTGACCGAAATGGACAAGGATACTCCCAACAGGATGCCGAGGAGGCTTTCTCCCAGATCTTGAACCAGTTGCGGGCTAAGTTGACCATCACCGAGGGCGAGGGAGAGTCTGCCACTACCACCTCATTTGTAGACAAATATCTCGCGGGCCAATTCGAATCTATCACCGAGTGTGAGGATCCCGCCGCTAAGGAACTCGGCGAGCAACCGAGTCAAAGTTCTGACGTTTTCTACAAACTTGATTGTCATATCGGAAAAGAAACGAACCACCTGCACGATGGAATTTTGGCCGGCCTCGAAGAGGAAATCGAGAAAAATTCTCCTCTTTTGGATCGCAATTCTGTGTACAAAAAGCGTTCTCGCATCGCACGACTGCCCAAGTACCTCACAGTCCATTTCGTCCGATTTTACTGGAAGCGCGAGACACAAAAGAAGGCTAAGATCATGCGCAAAGTGACATTCCCTGCTGAGTTGGATGTCGTGGAGTTCTGTACCGAGGACCTCCGAAAGCAGCTCGTCCCTATTCGTGACAAGGTTCGCGAGATCCGCAAGGAGGAGCTGGAAGTCGAACGTTCTCAGAAACGTCAAAGAGTTGCCGAAGAGCGTGCAGAGCGTCAAGCGAAAGAGACCAATCTGGGCGAAAGCGTGGAGCCAATGCAGAAGAAGAAGGTCACCGAGGAGAACAAGTCTAAAGTCAATGACAAGGATGGCGATAGCCAGATGGAGGAAACTTTCAAAACTGATGCCGAGTACGAAGCAGAAAAGGCGGAATCTATCCGCGTTGCTAAGAAAGAGCTCCAAGAACTTGTCAACCAACGGGGTGCTGGAGACAGCGGAACCAATCAGTCTGGTCTGTATGAGCTTCGCGCCGTGATTACCCACCAGGGTGCTAGCGCCGACAGCGGTCACTACACGGCATATGTCAAGAAACAGGAGCGGGATGAGCCTCAGACAGGCAGCAAACGCCGCGAGGCTGACGACAAGTGGTGGTGGTTCAACGACGATACAGTGACTGAGGTGGAGGCACAGAAGATCGAGACCCTCTCGGGTGGTGGTAAGTGGACCGCATTCTACAACCCAAGAGCCATTGCTAATGACATATCTAGGGGAGTCACACTCTGCTCTCATTTGCCTCTACCGCGCGATTGAGCTGCCCAAATGTGAGTAAATGGGCTTGCCTTAGCATCGTTCACATGAGAAAGAAATCTGCAAATGTTGCCTCTAGATGAATAGAAACGATGAACATGAATGATGCTAGTCTCAAACGCCTTAACTGTTACCAATTGATTGTCTTATGCCTTGCAATGATCTACATTCTGTAGTCCTCATGGATCTTTAGATTTCTTCCAGTGACGACATATGTACCGGATAATGCCTGGCACTCGAGACCTTTCCCTTTCCATTTTAGTGCTCACCTCTTGCCGCTTTCTGATCTCATGTTAGTGCCATCATGTGCTCTCCATCGCTCTAAACCGCCCCCATTATCTCATCAAAAAAGGACTGGCGTCGTCAACGCGACCGTTCGTCCTAACAAGCCTTCCTATTCAAGTGACAAACGAAAGTGTAAATTGTTGACCTATCAATCTTCCAGACCAACCTTTGCTCCCAGGATTACTTCGTTAATTAGCCCCATAATACCCTAGTCGAGCTCTAGACTTGTACTAGAGCGAGTTCGAGTGGTCGGATTTACCTGAAGATCTACAATATTGCCCTCCAACAAGGCCAACCAAGGGAACCAGTACTCAGCTGGTGACTACGATAAGTTATTTTAATTTAGCCAATCAGCGCAAATATTTGAAGGGTTCCAGGGCGTATAACGTCATATCTTACACACCATTGCTGAGTAGCTTCGAGGCCCGCCATGCGCTCCTAGGAGCCAACTAGAGTGAATTATGATACACTAGGGCCTATAGACTAGATTTTTCCAGCCGACCAGTTAATGAGACCTAAGCTAAATTCCTAGGAACTCTCTCCCTCCTGCAAATTTCCACCTGAAGTGATATAATCATAAAAGTTATAGATATTAAACCTTTCCCTCCTTATTGCTCTGCCCTTTAATATTTGGCCGAAACCGAAGTCTGCTTTAAAAATCGCATAGTGAGTCCAGCCTACGTTTATCCTTGACTATATCTACCGATCGTTCTCCAGTTTGGTATATTTGTTGTTCGCGAGGGCCGGAGGCCGGACCTAAGCGGTTTACTACTCTCATTGCCTAACCTGTAAAATCTTCGTAGTGAAACGTCTGCGCCCTTCCAGAAGCCTTCAAAGCTACCAAAAATAACAACCGAGGTATCAACTTAACAAGACTGTGTCGTCGATCGTTTTTCCTTGATACTCTAGGAAATCTTTATCGGCTTCAAGCTAACCAGAGCCTAGCAGGCTTGGTCATAAAGACTAACATCGTCTTCGATTGGTATACTAGAGCAACGCAGATATATGTGTTAACTTTTAGAGTGGACTGAATACGCGGCCAACAATACTATACATGAATCAGACCGAGGCCATCTTGACCCCATCGAGGATATCAAAGCGCAACTACTACCCTTAATAAAGAACTCAGTCTTTTTATAAGTCAGCGACCCCTTAGCATTCCAAGTTTGTCTCTACCAACCGTCTCCCGTTAAAAAAAAGTTTAATATGAAATTATTATACAGATGGTTCTGATGCCCTATAGCGGAATGATTATTTGTTTCTAGTAGCAATGTTATCCTAAAGTCAGATGCGGAAGCAGATACCTTTTGACATGGAAGAATTCCAAGATTAGGGGTTTTTAGTGTGGGTAGTTGACAGTTTCAAAATCCAGTGCTGTTGAATGCCACTAAAATATAGACAATTAGATACCGAGGGAATCATTTTTAAGCCACTGATTGTTGGGGCGTCTCTCGCATATGCTTCATGCAACCTGTGAGCCTTCGATAAATTCCAACGGCCCAAATGAAGTATCGCTATGGTCGACCCGGAATAGAAAGGTGATACAAATGCTTACACTATAAAAATGGAAAAGAACCGTTCTTCCCTCACTATTGAGATTGAGCAGATAAATTGCTAGAAACTAGGGGCAATAAAAGACAGAGTTGTCATATACTTCGATTGGCTGGTTAGAACCACAATTCAATAGTTATGAGTAGGCTTTGACATAACCCATAAAACCCAGGACCCAACCCAACCCAACCCACAAATGGTCTAGCACTGCATAACTTATGTAGTTTTAACCAGTATTTTTCTATACTCATTTTATACTGGGTCGTGCGGAAGACTAGGGGGTCTCTACTTTTTCCCCCCATAGTTAAGACCAAAAAGCCCTAATTCCAGTCTGGCAGACTGGGCGGACCCCCGTGGGATAGAAATATCACTAGTGCCGGTGCCGCTGCTAAAGCGCGGTGCCCGTTATAGGCTCTTAAGTTATAGGTGCTTTGTCGGAAATAGTGGTATGTCTTCTAAATCTACTCGGTTGGCGACATGCCCATCCTCCGGATACGTTCCCCATAATACTTGCTCTGAGCGCCCGCCCCTAGTGCCTTGATCGGCACCTTGCTCATTAGCCAACCCATCTCTACCGGCTTGAGCTGGATCTTGGCTTCCTTGTCACTAATGTCTTTGTTGAGGATCACTAAATTCGGCAGCTTCGGCACCATCGCTGCAGGCCGTCCAATTCCGATGATATCGCAAGCGCCGCTCTCAAGAGCCGATTGCATCGCGGCCCGACTGCGGAAGCCGCCAGTTACCATAAGAGGAATGGAAGGATAACGCTCCCGCACTGTTTTTGCGAAGTCGAGGAAAAATGCCTCACGATCGATCGTCTTCTTCTTACGAGTTGGCACAACAACCGTCGGGGTGGTAGCATCCATCGGCGAGTCGGCTTCCAAAAAGGAGAAATTCTCGAAGGACCCGCCACTAATCTCGATAAAGTCAACTCCTGCATCAATTACAAGTCCCATCTGTTCAAGGGCAGCGGCAAGGCCGCCGTCACCTTGCTCACTGATATCGACACTGTTCATCTTGATTCCGACACAGAACTGCGGACTGGTGGCTGCTCGGATGCCGGCAATAATACGCAGGACTATCTCAGCGCGCTTCGCGGGGCTACCACCGAAGTCATCAGTTCTCAGATTTGTCCTAGGGGACAGAAACTGAGCGAGTAAGTATCCGTGCGCACTATGTAACTCAACGCCTTTAAACCCCGCCAGATAGGCTTGCCGAGCGGCGTCAATGAATTGTTGTATTCCCTCAACAATCTCGGCATGTGTCATTTCACGGGGCGTGCCAAACAACACATCGGTAACCACGCGGGCAAGGCACCCAGATTCGATATTCATGGCGACGGGAGAAGGTGCGATATTTTTAGTCAATAACGAGCGCGTCCCAGCGCCTAGGGGCGATTGCCGGCCCGGGTGGCAGAGTTGAACAAGTGCAGGAGTTCCTTTTTCCTGTGTAGCAGTAGCCCAATTGCGCCAAGCCGTCTCAATGGCTGCACTATTTTCACGAGGTCCAGTGATGGCAACATCCCCAGAAGCGCCAAGATAAGTTTCAGTGACTTGAACATTGCCTAAAATGGCCAATGTGAGTTAGCGGCAAATTGGGGAATTAATGTTGGCAAGGATAGCCCACCGGTTAAAATCAGACCCCAACCTCCATCACCCCATTGGGAGTACACTCGACTGAATTTGTCGTCGGGATTGTGCGTGGGTGCCATAATTTCTGCCATGGCAGCCTAGCAGTGTCAGATATATGGAGTCATCCCTAACCGATGAGCATGAACATCGCTCTGATTGTGGTTGAAATTTACTTTGGCCAGCCTGTTGGGAAGTTTCAAACCACATGGTAAAGTCAAAGGACTTGCTATTATCGACATTCTTGACTGTATGCCGTTTGTAAGAACGGCGAGGACGAAATGGCAACTCCATGATTTCATATGTAGAATGTATTACAACAAAACATGTTGTACATACATAAACGGTGTAATATTCTCCCGACGGGCATTTTCTCTCTGTCGGATTAAGCTCAAACTGGGTCCCGACGGATAGTTTGATAGCACCCTCACCGAAACCCGCCCAAAAACCAACCTTGGAAACCTCCAGGGCTGTGTCGGTATCTTGGTCAGGGACCCATGGGCGGATCCTTGGTGCCTCAAACCCGTGTGGGCAAACTACCAGTGGAGTCCTCAATTCGATCGCCGAAGGTGAGGATTCCTGTGCTGTCTTCGTTAATGCAAGTCCGCAGCGGCGGGAAACTTTCCCCGATCTTCAACCTAAAGATCCTAGGCTTGTACCTATCCAGAATGTCTGCACCCGCTGGAATTCCACTTTCTTAACTGAATGGGGCGAAACAATTACAGTTTATTCTAAATTTGTATTGCACAACCCACCAATATCTCCAGTTCAAGCTTCCGAAGGAAGAGTCGCGCCAATTCGATTATCCACTTTCTATAACCGAGCCTTTCTTTACATTCACGACTGCTCCTTCGAAGTCACAAGATATCACAATTATCTGATCTTTGGCACCCCTTGTTGCTGCGAGATATCGACCCACTGATGACCTTGTCGTGTTACGGAGTTCTATAACCGTTCGAATCAACCCCCTGGTGAGGTTGACAAAGGCTATCTTTCCGCCAAATTCGGCGCCATGCAAATGCAGATCACGAACAAGGACTTTGACACTAGAGAAGATTGTTCAGCAATCGAAGAACCCGGAGGCGATGACCCTGTCGCGAAGCGAGAGCTCGGATGCCTACAGAGATCACCCTCGACTTGCTGGATGATGGCGTCGATGAGGACCACGTCTTCGCCATTGGTGTTGGCCCAGCTAGCATTCTTGTCGTTGGGAGCTACTAGGGTTGCGCTGCCCTGCGCTCGGCTTTCGAGGGCGTACCTGGGTTGAATGGTCTCCCCGTTGATAACAGAGTTCATATTCCCGCCTCGCTAATGGAGGCCAAGACGAGGTGATGTGGCTTGGTTGAGTCGTAGTTGTCAGGGATTTTTAGGATGTACTCGCGTCTATTGATATTGTGGACTCTAGTGGTGAGGGTAAGTTGTTTGCCGCAGCCCGAAGATGCGGCGGCATCGGCTGAGGATAGAAGCCCCAGGGCCAGCAGGGCAGGGAGAATCATCATGGTTAGGTAACAAAATAGCGGTATCGCAGATGAGGGATTCATTTTGATCAATTGAAGTTTGCAAGTTTGCCTCAATACTCCTCAATACTCAGGATTGATCGAGGACAAGTGAGAGTGAGATTCATAACTATCTCCAGAGCTTTGGATATCCCATGCTCTTAGACATAGATGATTAAGCCGCCAACACGACCTCGGGATCGCCGAAATTCGAGTTCTTCCACGACCCGTATCTACTCTAACATACATAGCGACAGCCCTAAGCAAGCCTCCCAATACCGAATAGATACTCCTAATCAGGCTAAATTCTGGAACACTTTGTAACATATTTAGTGACCGAAAGTCTAGATGACCGCGCCAAGACATTTTATTTCTAATTTACCAATCATATTGCTTCCTATCTTGTAAAATAATATTATAAACTGACATGCCAAGCCTTTATCGGTAGGTGGGAGCATGGTTTCTACCGAAATTCATATCTCTCTAGAACCGCTCTCACCGAGTTCCTAAAATATGGTTTACTCCGTAGTTCTTTAGAGCCTATGTTGTACTCGGATTTCAGCCAGGCATTGTAAGACCTCTCTGGCCTAGAAAGAACCGTGGCAAGGCTTACCAGCTAAGCCTTCACGAAAGCATCTTTGTCGTAGAAAAAGCCATACCAGGGCCTAGCAGCCAGCCTTCACCAAGGCAGCTTTAGACTGCGTTTCAGATATCCCTTTCCCGGTCCCTAATAACGCCTTGGCCATTCCTGATTAATGAGACTAAGCGACAGAGATTCATCAGTTTTGTTTCAAAGTAAGACCTTGGTATTATGCAATGTTAGGGGTCAAGATGCGTACCTCATGCAAGATAGAAAATCGGAAAGTGTATAAGTACGACGTATTTCCTACACTGATGGCTTCAACACAGTCATTACGAGCAGCTTCTTCCGTTCATTTCTATCTCAGTATATTTGCTTTCCGTGGGCTGGCCCCTCAATTAGTTCTTTACAAAAGTCCAACATTTCTTTCATTGATTTCAAAATGAAGTTCTCACTTGTCGCTCTCGCAGCCATCGCGCCCATTGTCTCGGCTCATTATTTCTTCGACGCCCTCGTTATTGACGGCAAGGAAACTTCCGAGTATGTCCGCTCAAACACTCGTGCCGCCAAATACAACCCAACCAAATGGGTCAACACCCGCGACGACATGACCCCTGATGTGCTTGACTTCCGCTGCAATAAGGGTGCCTTCAGCTTTGCTGACAAAACTGGTACCGCGGAGGTCAAGGCCGGATCCAAGCTTGCCATGAAGCTTGCTGTTGGTGCTAAAATGCAGCACCCTGGTCCTGCCCTCGTGTACATGTCTAAGGCTCCTAGCACGGCTAAGGAATACCAGGGCGATGGTGACTGGTTCAAGATCCACCAAGAGGGCGTCTGCGACAAGAACAAGGACTTTACCAAGGATGCCTGGTGTACTTACGACAAGGATCGTATTGAGTTCACGATTCCTGCGAGTTTGCCTGACGGGGAGTACCTAATTCGGCCGGAGCACATTGGTATGTTTGTTATATCCTTGGTATAATTAAAGGGTACTAATTTCAGGAACAGGTGTGCACGGTGCCGCGGGTGGACAAGCCGAATTTTATAACTCGTAAGTAAAGCTTTTTCACGCCTCTCCTACATTTTCAGTAAATACTGACAGAATTTTTAGCTGTGCTCAAGTCAAGGTTGTCGGTGGTGGCAATGGAACCCCCGGACCTACGGTCAAATTCCCCGGTGCTTACAAGAAAGATGATCCTTCGTTCAACTTCAGTATCTACAATGGCTACAAGGATTATCCTATGCCTGGTCCGGAAGTCTGGTCCGGTGGGTCGGGATCTACCTCTGCTTCTAATGTGGCTAGCATCAATGCTACAGCTGCCGCTACTACTTCCGATAAGGAAGATGAGGGCACCTGCGAAAGCGCCTTCACTCGCTGCGCACGCTCGTGCTTTCAGCTACTAAAGTAATCGGCCCATTTCCGGTCTATCGTTGATTTTCTCTTTTTTTTTGGGGGGGGGGGTGGTTGATACTGATGGAGTCTCTCGCCGCTCATGTCAGTCGTTTTCAGATGATATCTGTTCTTGCTTGCCAGGGCTTTTTTTATCACTCAGAGCTGTGTAGAATGCTGTAGTGTTCCTAGTTAGAGAGAGAATCGCGCCACTTTGCTTCAAGTTTGTCAAGTTCGCATAGTCTCCACATAATGCGTGGTAGTTTGAAGATAGGATTTACCCTTTGACATGATTCATGAACTCCATTTTGGAAAAATTCCCGGGCATAGCGAGGTTTCATTCCCCGCTGTCACTTGTACTTGAACTGACAGGCTTAAAGGCACCGTTGCCACTAAAATATTCATATATGACACTCATTACCCTCGGTTGATATCTGGCAGTGGTCATATAACTGTATCCATAGTATCAGAATCTTAGGGCCTACCTTTCGACTATTTCATAGTTAGATAGTTCTACGATATCATTATATTACACCTTTCATGATTTATGATCTCATTTACTATCTCATTTACTATCTCGTAGATTCAAGCACCGTTGAACAACCTTCGTCTATTTCCGAGGCCTGCTCAACCGCATCGTTTGGCGCCTAAACGACGCAATAAGACTAGTGCTGCGTACTTCCTGAACGGTCCGTCATACAGTAAAGCTTCGAAGTCAAGATGATCTGACAGTCCTTGTGATTTCAGATTACATCAGTTGCCTATACACGAATATCTTTCTCCGAGACGACAGTCCCGAAACCATCCGCCAGCTCACTTAACATAACAGAGACCAGATTCTCGGCCTTGACGTCAGGGATATCCCTATCACCCACGGCATCCCTTACGATAAGCGGATCATATCCAAGTAGCGTGGGACTATATAGGAGTCCTATAACTCCTATAGGACCCCTATAGGACTACTAGGGTAATAGGACTAGATTCTTTTAGTCCTATAGGGGAGATGGGACTAGGATATGGGACTGAAATCTTTTTGGTCCCATGGGAGTTGGCAAGGTCTAACACTAAGTATCACTAATTAATCAGAGAACATCCAACCTTGTGGACATATGTAAATGACTAATGGCAATGTACACGTGACCTGATTGAGCCTCGGCCGGAATTGTGCAAAGCCCCGATTAAATCAACATCCTAATTCTAGAGGAATGGCAATGTGACCACCATGTTACATTATCGCAGCATCTTCCAGTCGGCCCTTCGCCAGTCTTCGATACAGACACGAAGTTTTTGGCGACCAGCGGTCCGAAACGTCAGCACCGCGACACGACCAAATGCCTCACGAGAACCATGGCGTTGGACGCGCCGCCTGATCTATGCCGGCATCTTTGGAACACTTGGCGTCGGTGCAGGGAAATGGCTGGACAACAAAATTGCAAAGCCACCGATTCCTGGCTCGTTAGAAGACCAAATGGAGATTCAGGAAATCCATCGGGTGTTCGACATTGGACTCCCCATTGTGCAGGAGCTGCGTCGCAACCCCGATTACGTGGAAAAAGATGTCTACGAAAACTTCGCGGACAAGCACAAAACCCATCGGCTGACATCAGGCCCCTTGGCTGGCAGTAGGGGCTTGGGATTACAGGTTGGTCTCTCGTTTTCTCATTGAGGTCCGAGGCATGTCTATCTTACATGAATGCCGAACCTTTTGACTGCCGAACCTCGGGATCCCGCCTTGTCTAACTATTCTCGTACTTGGCAGAAAGTTTTCTGGAATGACAAAGAGAAGAAAATCATTAGCGTGGTCTTCTTGGGACCAGGCCTCGAAGGCTGGCCAACCATGGTCCATGGGGGCGCGCTCGGCACTGTGATCGATGAGAACCTGGGGCGCGTAGCTATTCGGCACTTCCCATCGCGAACAGGGGTCACTGCCAACCTCGAGCTCAACTACCGGGCACCGGTCCACTCGGACAATTTCTATTCCCTGCATACAACGCTAGATCAGGAACAGAGCACGGACGCCAAGGCATACGCCAAGTGTGAGGTCCGTGACATGGCAGGTCGGCTATGTGTTGAAGCGACGGGACTTTTCGTTGTTCCAAAGACACTCCAGCTGAGCAAGGTTGGGGAATATTTCTGAACTGCGCAAATACCCACACTTTACTCGCTACATGGCTTGAAATCTACGAATACGCGGCTTGCTTCGATCGTGCGACTTCTCCGAGGCTTCCGCCGAGGTTGTAATAAACTCAGCACCGACCTCCTGGTCCCCTTGGACGAGGTCAACTGAAAAGCAGGAAGCTGGCAAGGGAAAACAGACCTTATATATGAACTATTTCTGTACAAATATGCGCTATCTGATGACTTCATACAGATACAATCAGCGTCTCTTGTACATTTGAGAAGGTTATAAATTCAAAACTCAAACTCTCCTAATATTCCGTTTCTGACTGTTTCGGGGCTGATCCCTATTCTGGTATGGGCCTCCGGAGCAATGACTCGTGAGCCAACTAGATGCATCCACCTTCTCCACGTTTGCTCCCCCGCATTTCTCCTAGCGTCTTTGCCCCAGAAATACCACAATTATGTATGAGAGAATTGCCAAGCTGCCTCGGTATTTTCTGGATTTCAAGCATTCCAGTCCCGGCTATCTGATTCAATGCGCCTTAGCTTGTTTTCATTTCCCCACTCTGATTCATTACATTCCGAAATCATGACATATGGGACTGGTTCAGTGAGCTGAAATGAAGTTATATACTCGTGTCCTTTCTTCGAGACTCTGGATTTAATTTTCAATATCGTCCACATTTCAGTCGAATTCGAATTACATCCAATTTTGTTTGATTTGGGGCCAAGATCAATCTCCCATTTGTACTTCTTTTGTTTACAATTGTGCTGCCCTTGAGTCACGCTCATCATGGCGGAATCAATCCTTCAATCGAGTCGGCCGGTCGACGAGAAGGCTGTGATCCAACATCACGAAAATATTGGCACTTCACAGCATAGTCACCAGGAAACGACTGGACTGGGCTCAGAAGAAGCTATGCATGAGTCTGAGAAGGATATCCCAGTAGGATTCGGTTGCTCAACTTGTGGTTGCGACAATACTGACCATTAAAAAGATGACCTTCCGTCGCTTCATGGGCTTTACTGCCATGGCTTTCTTGTGGACTGGAAGTCAGATCCCAGTCTACCTGTTTGGTATGTCAAAAACAACATGAAAGCTACGATATAATTTTGATACCTTCTCCCTAGGCGGAATCCCTCCCTACATTTATGGAGACATTGGTGGAGCAGACCGATGGGTCTGGTTTGTGAGTGTATACTCATTGAAGTATAGGGCTATCGACTAACGACCTTCTGTTTAGGTTCTCGCAAACTTGCTCGGCCTTGCTGGTGTATGCCCTTTTGTTGGATCTCTATCTGATCTAATCGGACGCCGCCCAGTCGCTATTATTGGAGCATCTCTGATCGTTATTGGAATGATCATCTGCAGCACAGTGCACACAATGAACAACTTCATCGGTTTGTATTTGCCCAGATACCGAAGTACATAGACATTCGCTGACATGGACACAGCGGGCATGGCCATTGCTGGCGCCGGTGCCGGGATCAATGAACTGACAGCACTGGCTGCAACCTCCGAGATGGCGCCGACTCGAAAGAGAGGAGTCTATGTGTCGGTCCTTATCTTAACCATCGTACCATTCTGCCCGTCCGTGCTATGGGCTCAGCTTATCGCGTATCACACCCATTGGCGCTATGTCGGTGCGTTCTGTGCTGCATGGAGCGCCTTTGGTCTGTTGATCACTGTTTTGTTCTACTTCCCTCCGCCACGAGTCAACTCAGTTGGTTTGAGCCGAAAGGAGATAATTGGACGGATCGACTTTGTTGGTGGATTTCTCAGCATCACTGGTCTGATTGTCTTCTTGGCCGGTTTGCAATGGGGTGGATATATGGTATGCTTGCAAATACCCTGCGCGGGGCTAACATATCTTACTGACATATTAATTTAGTACCCATGGACATCTGCCCATGTTCTGGCACCATTGATCATTGGGTTCCTCCTGCTTGTTGCTTTTGCTTTCTGGGAAATCTACGGAGCCAAATATCCCATTTTTCCATCTCGCCTCAAGCAAGAGCCTCGGATTCTGGGTCTTACCCTTGTCATTACTTTCATCTCCGGTGCCAACTTCTTCTCCGTGCTTATGTTCTGGCCCACGGAATCATTCAATGTCTACGGCCATGACCCAGTAGATGTGGGCGTTCGCAGTCTCCCTATTGGTTTTGCAATCATGGCAGGAGCATGTACTGTGCTTGCGCTGCTAAGTGTGCTTCGTGGGCATAACAAGGAGCTCTTGATCATCAGTAGCGTGCTGATGACTGCAGGTGAGTTTTCTTGGTAGGTATGAAAGAGTCCCCCCAAAGCTAATTTGGTCTTTTTTTTCCACAAAACAGGTTGCGGTGCTATGGCAATTGGCCGCACCGATAATATGTATCAGCTCTGGGGAATTCTCATCCTTGCTGGCCTTGGAATTGGAGGTATTGTGGTGCCAGCCTCGATTATTACCACGATCATTTGCCCGGATGTAAGTTGCTTTATAATTTATAATGAAGGAAGTTTGCCTACTGACTGGCTTTTCGCTAGGATTTGATTGCCACTATCTCTGCACTCACCCTCTCTATTCGCGTGGTAGGCGGTGGCATCGGCTACACCATTTACTACAATGTCTTCATCTCGAAGTTTGTCCCCGCGGCAACGCACTACATTGGTGGTGTGATGATGAAAGAACTTAACATCACCGACGTCAAACTGATTGGCGAAGCAATTGAGCTGACAGGTGCCTCACTGTTGGGCGAGCTGCGTACAATCCCTGGTATTGCTGGAAATGAGACTGCATATCAAATGGTCGTAGGGGCTGGTCAGATTGCATTTGCCGAAGGATATAAATGGGTATACTATGTCAGTATTGCATTCGGTGGTGTCTCCATTGTGGCCGCCTGTTTCTTGGGCGACATCCAGAAGTATATGACAGACCATGTTGCCGTGGTAATGTGAGGGCATATCCCAATTGCTATTTATGCGAACTATTTGGTCACTTACAGGAGATGTCTGAATTACGAGAACAATGTATCAAAAATGTGATTGGAAGATATTTCAAGAAAGTAGATATCAATAGGAAAAAGAGCAGTAAATAAGATTATCATGGGGCCGCCGATCATGACGCGCCAAGCCCGGCAACTTTTTTACTCAAACGTCGATGCACACAACTTCAATCAGCCATGGCTTCCCACTCTTCTGCCAAGCGGAAACCTTTCGCTCCCTCAGGTCCGCATGGCCCAGCCGGGACATCTCGCAAACGCGCCAAAACCTTTGATGCGCGCACCTTGGCTGTGCAGTCGGCCGACGCCGCCCTCTCCGCAACGGGCGAGCTTGATGTCGCCGCCTACTCTGCAGCTCGGGCATTTGAGATCCAAGCTCTGGAGGAGGGGATGCAGAGGTCGAAAAATGCGCTCACGACGCGAGCCTTCCAAAAAGTTCCCCGCTCACTGCGGCGGCGGACGGCGAGTCATAATGTGAAGCGAGTTCCGCGGAGGTTGAGGGCTCGAGCCAAGCGAGAGGTATTCATTGACAATGAACTACGAATTGCCAATAACCGTTGACTAACTCGCTATTTCAACCATATTAGATGGCCGAGGATAAAACACCCACTGTTACGGCGCGCAGACGCAAGCCATCCCAGATGATGCGCATTCGACTCGATACCGCTCGGCGGCTGCAGGCTATCAACTCGAAAACAAAGGCCCGACGGGCGGCCGCGAGACTAAAGCGGGATCAAGAGAACCAGACTTCCTTAGAGAAGGAGGGAAGTCATGCCTTCGATATTGCACCACGAGTTCCCAAGATCAAGAAGAACAAGCTGTCAAGGCCTATTGCGGCAGAGCCTAAGTACCGCAAGCGCCAGAAATGCAAGGCATGGCTACCTACTCATTTGTATCATGCAAAGCGAGCTCATATGGCGACGACCAAAGACCCGATTTGGCGCTTTGCTGTTCCCTTGTCCCCAACCGAGAAAAGCTATCGGCCTACGCACCGGGCTCGCGGCGCCCGGGGTGCCGTGGCGTGGGATATGAGCTATATGTCTACTATTCAGTTGGAAGGAACGGAACCAGCTATCCAGGCTGTCCTAACGGCAGTGGGTGTCGACGGGGACAATGCATGGGGCACCAAGGGGAAGAAATGGAGAGCCGGAACCCGGTCTCTTCAGGCCTGGACTTTTGAAAAAGATCATCCAAAACGTCCAACTGCACCAGTGACATTGATATGGTGTGCCAAGCAGGAAGATGTCGAGATGGTTGATGTCGACGAACCTCAGCCCAAGTCATCTAAGAAAGATCACCGGAAACTCTGGATTAGAGTCCATCCTTCGGCGTTCCTGCAGCTGTGGACGGATGTTCTTGGTGTATCCAAATCTCAAAATCCCCCTGTCATGGTCGAGGACCTGCGATTCGAAATTGGTAGTATTGAAATCACAGGGCCAGGGTCTACCGAGGCCTTGCTGTCGGCACTGAAACCGATTCTTGGGACAGATGGCAATGCTCCACCAGCACGGAGCCCAGAAGCCGTCTGGCCATCTCTTCTGGGGGTGTCGAATCCGTGCTCACTACCGCATAATGCCCTGCTCTCTTTTGCTATTTCTGATCCTCGCCTACACTTCCCGCCACGCACACTTCACGTCCCCGACAACGAATCCCACATGAATGACCTTGCTATCTTACTTTCTACATGGCATCCGGACAAAATGCAAGGTCCCTCTAAGCTGTTCGACCGATCCACTCGGTTAGCAGCGGCTCGTCAACTCCCAAGCCAGAAGGCTATCAACCGACGCCGCACTCTTGCCGGTCCTGGTGAATATCCACCACCCCAACCATCAGACCCTCAAATTCCGATCATGATACTCGCAAACAAGCCACAAGCCCGGGCCAAACGCAGCAATGCCCCGGGGTCCTGGACCGTATTATTACCATGGAAATGCGTTGTCCCGGTCTGGTATTCAATCATGTTCTACCCATTATCCAGCGGAGGAAACCCATTGCTTGGCGGTTTGAAGCAGCAGCAGCAGCTTGCTTTCGAAGCAGGCGAGGCCTGGTTCCCTGGGGATTTCCCAGGAACACAAGCTGGGTGGGAATGGGGTCAGCGTGAGACCGAGAAATCTCGACGTGATTGGGAGCGACGCCCTAAGGGGCGGCGCCCCGAGTTCGATAACATTTCGTTGGGTGATGGTCGTCCAAAGGGCGAGATAGGCCATGGGTGGGCCTGTGACTGGGAAAGGCTTCTTCAAGGGCCGAAAAAGGACGATGCTACTACAAAAACTGCCGATGGCAGCTCGGACAAAAAGCCAACCGAGTCCAACGAGGCTGAGAAAAACGACCCCTCGACACCCATCATCCCGCCCCTCAATATTCACAATATTCGTCTCCCTCCGGCCGATACCTACCAAAGCCTGAGTAAGCTGGACAAAACATCCGTCGATGTCTCCACCCTTTCCACAGTCTATCTTTCTCTCACGACGCGAGGCACACCCACACCCCGCGCACGAATCTACCGGCTTCCTACGGACCCAGCTCTACGCCAAAAATGGCTCGACCTTGGCTCGGCAACGAGCAACAAACCTAGTCAACCGAAGCTCTCCAACGGAGGAAACACTGTGCCCGAATCTGAAGAAGCTCGGCGTCTCCTTGCCAAGGCTCTCATCTCTTCTGCTGATGGAGAATGTGACTCTGAGCCATTGGATGTGCCCACCGAGGATGACCTGATTGGTTTTGTCACTACAGGAAACTATAATCTCTCTGAAGGCAAAGGGACAGGTATTGGGTCTATCCAGCTTTCGAAGGTATTGGCTCCCAATGTCAAGGCCTCCGAGAGAAGAATGTGTATTATTCGGACCTCGGGAGAGAAGAGTGGGCGTTTAGGAGTATGGGAATTTGTATGATATCAAGTTCGATGAACCTTGCCCAGCTGTGGAGTTGCCCAATTGTGGTTTAAACACCGTCTTCTGCCCCAGTCACTTGATGCTTAGTATATATTTTTTACTAGCAGAAGAATAGTCTCCCAAGGTTAACCGACAAAGATCCATTGTCATTCATGGATTAACTTTATCCTATTGAGATGAAAACAAATGGAACAAAGAAAAATGCACGTTCTATACATACAGTACAGCAGATCCCAGCCCAAAATCAGGTCCCATAAAACGTAGAGACTTCATATCAAGCCGCTGTATTCCCGACCCCACAAATCTAACCCACAATGCGATCCACGAAAGCAGCCTCCATACGCGCAACCTCACGCTTGAAAGCATCAACCTCCTCCCAGCAGTTCAATGGCCGGCGATCATTCAACTGCAAGCAGCTAGTAACATCCGAGCGGGCCTTGGCAACTCCATCATCGAGCTCCACAAGCTTCCTCCGCCCATCGAGCTTACTCCGCAGCTGCTCGATCTCAGCAGCTACAGAGTCGCGCGAGACATTGCGCTTGACGGGCTGTGCAGCGGCAGCGACCTCCTGCGGTGCGGCGACTGTAGGCACGGGGTCGTGGTGGCGGCCGGCGAAGGGGATCCGCGGTGCGTCCAGGTTCAGTGAGCCGGCTGGGTAGCCCGAGGTGAAGGGGGCGAGGGGCGCGGTCGCTGCTGTGATGGGCAGGGAGGTGGTGTCTTTGGACTCGGAGATGCGCTTCTCGATCTCGGCGAGGGTTTGCCGCTCGCGTTCGTGGAGGCGTTTCAGTTCCTGTGCGACGCGGTTTTGGATCTCCAATTCCAGGGCTTTGGCGCGGGTGGAGTCGGTCTGTTTGATTGGTGGATTGTGAGATTTTTGAATTGAGCTGGGGATTTGCTTATAGCTTTGTTGTGCTCACCTCTGAGTTCGATTGGAGTGCATCGACTAGATTTGAGGAGAATTGAACGGGAGAGTTGCTGTGCATGGTTAGGTTAGCGTCGGCTGTAGGATTCTTTGGATGAGCTCCGCGGTGTCGCAAATGGTGATGGCATCTTTAGAGCTCCTTTAGATCTGCGGGAACCATCTGCCCTTCCCAATTGGCGCCAATTGGAAGGTAGTTCCCGTTCTCTCCGCCGTCAAGCACCAAATGCCGCGGAAGCTGAAATCGAGGTCGGAGAGCAAATACCTGGAGAACACATGTTGTGAGCCAGCTGAAGCCTCAGGCTTAGAGTTTCCAGCACCCATTTTTCGGCAAAAAGGACGAGTCCTGTTAAGATAGAAAGACAGTGATGGTTCGAGATGCCCGCTCACAACCCGTTCAGTTCGGAGGATGTTGGAGGTCACGTGAGACCATGTTAGTCATCCTCGGCCCGGGGCGCCAGTTGTCGGTTGGTCTTACCATGCATATACTGTCAACTATGGACGGATTTACGGAGTACATTAATATGATATCCGAGCGATATTACGGCTTTCTTTAACAGCAATAGACTAAACCACAGATAGTGAACGACTCAGTGCCAACAACTTCAAATGCCAATGCAGGTTACAACATGACGTATTGAACAAGAGAAATATGACGGAGCCAAACAGCAATACTTGGGACATCTGGAGGACTTGAAAAGAGCCTCGGTCTAGGCTTAGTTAATTCTTGAATATTTAACTGGTGAGTTTATTGGTGAGGTTGTCATAGCTAAAGGGTTACCTATATAAGTATGACATGATTTCCACCTCCCAAATGCTATGTGATGGTAAACCAAACGCTATGTACTTGGTCTCTGCAAAGTCTATTGCTGTATAGACATTTGAGCAATTATCATGGCGCTTCCGGTAGGAAAAGGCAAGTTCATATGTATCATACGAGAAAGAAAAAGCATTGTATGAGAGAATGTGCCGTTTAAACAAACAATAAGATTGACTACGTACTACGCTAGTTCTGCATAGTCTCCAAGCAAGCAAGGTAGAGACCATGGTATGTGCTAAATCCATCAATCAAAAAGCTTGATAACCCTAATGTATACCCAACTAAATTGGGGTTCACATGTACAAAAAGGCCAACCCTCCAGGACTACTTTCGAATATCTGCCATAGTACTTAGCTCTACATACAAACCAATTGAACTTCCCTAGAAGTGATTGATATATGGGAACTTGAATGGAATGGACTTATGACGAGCAGGGAATTTCGATGTCAAGAGGCAGGCGAATCTTACGTAGAACTTGTATGACTAGAAAGGAAAGGAAGAAGAATTACCGTGGAACTAATTATGTATTAATAAGAGAAAAGCCACATGTCTCATCATCTCCATGGGGTTCCAGACATCCACACTCGGGATTCCGTGCATTCGGGGCATTTGACCATTCTGTTGGCTCTGGGGCCGAGTATGCCGGGATGGGGCCGATCTATCCCGATCGCCTCTATGTCTCTATGATGTACTACAGCATGTACAGTAGGTACATACATAGTTATGTTGTACATCTGTGTATAAGCGCAACATAAATATCACTTTCAAATCACACAAATCAGCATATGCGGGAAAACACATTGGTCCGATGCGCGAAATACTATAGGGTTATCCCCCGATGTGGCATTTGCATATTCCCGTCCCCTGCCCCGGTCTTAGCCTGTGTCGCTCACCGGTGAAGTCGGGGGAAATATGCAGCTAAAAAGGATTGACCAGTAATATCGCCTCCCCACACTGTCTAAGTCTGCCAAAATTTAAATTGTCTCTGTTCATAACGTCATGGAAAAAAGAAAATCCAAGTTACGAATGCCCAAATGTAGAGGCTGCTTTCGGTCATAGATACCCCTCTGTAGAAGACTCAAAACGTTGAATGTTTGTTGATTTCCCTATAGTTCAAAGAATGAAATTGAAGGCGTACAATATAAAATAAAGTAACATTTCTCTCCGGTGAACCCGGCAATTCCCCAAATACCCTAATAGTACATCGTATATACTTTATTAACAGTGGCAATTTTTACGGGGGAAATGTACTGCCAAGGTACCGGACTGACCTCATGGATACCCCCCTCCGTCATCCCACCTTGATGTTCTGTTTCGTGTCTTATTTCTTCACTCTCCCGCCTTTCTTCTTACCTTTTTCTTCCCCTACTCTTCCCCTACTCTTTCCCACTCTTTTCCACTCTTTTCCACTCTTTTCTCCATTAGCCGGTATCTTAACACTCTACTCAACCGGCCATTCTCATTTCTTGTTACACCATGTCTTCTTCACTCTTGGACCAAGCTACGCGCATTGCGCGTGACTTCGACTACCCCGCTGAGAAAGTGCAGCGCGGGGTTGCCGAGTACATCAAGCAGTCCAACGAGGGCTTGACCAAAGAGGGTACCACCTTGAGCCAAATTCCTACCTTCGTGACTGCGGTGCCAAATGGCACAGAAAAGGTATGAAGGCGAAGTATTTACAACGGGAATTGCGCGCTGATTCTCCTTGTTATAGGGCCTTTACTTGGCTGTCGATCTCGGTGGCACTAACTTCCGTGTGTGCTCGGTCCTCCTGCACGGCGATACTACCTTCTCCCTCACCCAATCCAAGATCCTAATTCCTCGGGAATTGATGGCCTCTGGCACATCTAGGGATCTCTTCCTCTTCTTGGCCCGTCAAATCGAGGCATTCCTTCGCATTCACCACAACGAACACTTCGAGGCCCACCAGCTCCGCCGACAGGAGGGTAACAACGAAGAGGATCTGTTCGATCTGGGCTTTACCTTCAGTTTCCCCGTGCGCCAGTGCGGTATCAACCGCGGAACACTGATCCGCTGGACCAAGGGCTTTAACATCCCCGATGCGGTTGGCCACGATGTTTGCGCGCTGCTTCAGTCCGCCATTGATGATTTGGACCTGCCCGTGCGCGTGGCCGCACTAGTGAACGACACCGTCGGTACTCTCATGGCCCGCTCATACACCTCGCCAGGCGAGACTGGCACTTTCCTCGGTGCTATTTTCGGAACCGGTACCAACGGTGCTTACGTGGAGAAGACCAAGAACATCACCAAGCTCCAGCAGATGAAGGATGCCCACTTTGAAGACTCCACAGGCGAGATGATTATCAACGCTGAGTGGGGTAGCTTCGATAACCACATGAGCGTGCTCCCTACCACGGTGTTCGATGATGAGCTCGATGCCGACAGCAACAACCCCGGTGTGCAGATGTTCGAGAAGCGTGTTTCCGGCATGTTCTTGGGCGAAATTCTGCGCCGTGCGCTCCTGTCTCTTCACCGCAGCACCGACCTAGGACTGTTCAAGGCCAATAAGAACTCCAAGGTCGTCCTTCCTGAAGGATCTATGCTCTTCCGTCAATGGGGTCTTGACACCAGTATGCTGAGTTCAGTCGAAGCTGATAGCAGCAAGGACTTAGTGGATGTGAAGACCGCATTGAAGGATCACCTCGAGATTGAGAACCCCAGCCTTGAAGAGTGCCAGGCTGTGAAAATCATCGTTCACGCCATTGGAAAACGTGCCGCTCGCCTGAGCGCTGTTCCGTTGGCTGCCATTCTCGTGCACACCAATAAGCTTGAGACTGATGATATCATCGACATCGGTGTCGATGGCAGTCTCGTTGAATTCTACCCCAATTTTGAAGGGTATATGCGTGAGGCTTTGCGCGAAGTTCCCGAAGTTGGAGTTGCAGGCGACAAGAAGATCCGCATTGGAATTTCCAAGGATGGCAGCGGTGTTGGCGCAGCTCTGATTGCGCTCGTCGCTAGCAAGATCGATCGCCTCGAAATTCCCCACGAGAAATAAATGACTTGGACTATCCTATGGTTGCCTTCGTTTATGTCTTTTGTTGGTCGGAGCTCTTCATTTTTCATGACCTTTACAGCGGCCATCCTCCTATCTATCCCCAGCGAAGTTGAAAGCTGGCTTGGTCCACCTCCTTGATGTTACTCAAAATCTCAGGCCTGCCACAATCGGTTACCACCCGAAAACAAATACCCAACCCAAATTCCCTCATCTTTCGCTCGTCCAAACCCATAGCAACACTGTCAGCTGAAATCAAGATTCAGATCTTGATGGTCAACTTGCCAACCCGCACGTGTTTCCTACCTGCGGGGGCGGGCATCTGCAATTACCACGCCCCATTCCATCTACTTCCCATAACGATATCACATTATACTGGGGCCTGGATTTCACTATGGAGTCGCAGAGACGTCTTCCTTTGAGGCCTTCCCGGCGTGGAACGGCATGCGATACCAGTACATTGCATTGAACTGGCTTCTACGCCCATTGTCATATTCATTTCTTGTCTATTTCTTATCTCACAATTCCATTGCTTTTTAATGAATCTCTTCAAGTAGATGTACACCAAGGCGGATAAATTGAATAATATTTATATCAGTCTTATTGACATTATATACTTCTGAAGCACATCAAAGTCCTCTAATTACCAGGCTCATACCCAATAGCCCGAGGTGCCTGTACAAAATCGATATGACCAGCCGTGCCCATCAGCAAGGCCGCCTTGCCACTGACACCGGGATCAATCCCAATGAAGTTACCGGGGAACCCAATGTCAAAAGTAGCCGCGGCCTCCAAAAACTCGATCTGCTTATCCGTAAGCCGAATCGACAAAGCTTGGATATTATCATGCAGATGCTCAATCTTGCGGCCTCCAACAAGCGGGAACACATTCGGCGCCTTGCAGAGCACATAAGCCAACGCAATAGTAGTAACCGACTCAATCCCATGCTCAGCAGCAACAGTGGCCAACGCCTCAGTGATACGCCTCTCCTCTTCCGTCTGCTCACCACCCATCATACTGCGCAGACCCTCACCCGTCTTCTTCCGCTCCTCGAGCTGCTTAGCAGTCTGGAAATGGCCACTACCAAGCACATCCCACGGCGCAAGCGCCATCCCGAAATGCCGCGCCATAGGCAGGATATCGCGCTCGAAGTCGCGACGCATCACGTTCCACCGTCCCTGGTAGATGGAGAAAGGCGTTTTGCCGTGTGCGCGCGCATACGTGTTCGCCGCGGAAACGACCCACGCGGGCGAATCCGAGATCCCGAGGTACATGACCTTTCCCTGCTCGACGAGGATGTGGAGGGAGTCCATGATTTCCTCGATGGAGGTGGTGTGGTCCCACCAGTGGAGGTAGAGGACGTCGATGAAGTCGGTTTGGAGTTTGCGGAGAGAGTCGCGGACGCTAAGGATCATGCTGCGCTTGTGGTTCCCGCAGGCGTTGGGGGCGTTGCCCTTCCCGACTGCGTAGGTCCGGTAGTCGGTTGTAAACTTGGTGGCTAGCACGATCTGGTCACGGTTGTTACGTGCGGCCATCCATTCGCCGAGCCAGGCCTCGGATTGCTCGTTCTGGTAGTTGTTTGCTGTGTCGATAAAGTTGCCGCCGGCGGCGACGAAGGCGTCGAGCAGTGCAAAGGATTGCTCTTTGCTCATGCTGCCCATGAATCCACTCCAGGCGTCGCCGATGGACATTGCGCCGAGCTGGAGGGGGGAGACGCGGACTCCTGCTGTTGAGGAGAGGACCCGGTACCGGCCCAGAGGGGTGGCCGGCTCTGGGGCAGCTTTGAAGATTTCGTTCATTGTATAGTTGGTGTAGTGTGTTTGTTTGTTGTTATGTAGATTGATGGTGGTGGACTGAAGTATTCTGGTCAGTTGAGGTGCCTTTTTATACGTGGGCTTCTTACTTCGTTATAGATGAAGCCCGGAGTTAATATCTCGGTGGTAACGGCTAGTTCTGTCAGCGCATTGCATCCATTAACCTTAGTAATCGGAATTAAAACTCCCTCGTAATTATATCTCCGTTCCTAATATCTATGTTGTAGAGTCTTCCTGGGCATCTTCCTGCTCGCCTTCCTACATAGACACCAGATAAGTAGGTAGTTATAGCCGATGATTAAGCTCTATGATGCCAATACTGTATGTTGTACTACACCACATGTGTACATCTTGTAGTCTGCCGTGTATGGGTACACGTAACACTGCTTCTCCCCGTGGACAGGTATGGTGTTTCCTGAAATCTTTGGGGATTCTGAGTTCCTGAATGTTAGTAATAATAACTTGCTCTATTTCCAAATACAAAGACTCAACCCATAATTTTAAGATAGCTATATATTCACTGACGGATGTCATTGAGCACTCATCATAGGAGTGCCAGTATAGATCAGCTGAGACCATGCTAATGCTGTACTCGGGACATGCAATAGACATTTGAAACACTTGCCCCTACGAGTGAAAGAGGTACCCTGTGACCTCTGTTGATCATTTTATGCTCTCATAAAGGCGAGTATGACGATATGAAGAATAATCACCGAACCATGAAGCATAGCACAACCTTGGAAGGTGAGAACAAGGACAAGCTTAACCCCAATCTCCGAGTTGCTTCCATGGTTCCCAAGTCGCACTAATCCCCATCCCGTTAGCGCCATGTCAGCTTCCGCTGTCGATCACTAGAGCCTTTTACGACATTGTAAACTCCGCAAGAATTAGACGGAACACTTTGTTTATTAGATTATAAACCCTGAGCCCCTCTCTCCATTTCCATCTGACTTGTTCGGTCGGACCTCATGTTTATCATTTTCCCCTTGTTTTATCAACAGCGGTGTACTCGTAATCCATTGCAGGAACGATGTTTCTCTCTGTTGGATGCCTGAGCAAGGGGCAATGTACTATTCACATCCCCTGATCGCTGATTGGCGAGCAACCGCAACCAAAATCTTGTACATAAGTTCATGCAACAATTGACTAATAGACCACCCTGATCCTTGCATTCTCCTGACTGCAGCCCCGCCTGGGCAACCCGAACTCGAGATTTCCTCTGCGTTCAAGCGCGCATTTTGACTCAGATCCTGTCGGATGAGAACAAACTTGTTGTCCTTTCTGATGACTCATGATTTTCGGGACTACTGCGACTAATTATAGTTGCATAACCGCCAATTGTTGCTATTGACGAACTAATAGACTAGTTCATTCCATGAGAACTAGACCATGCTGCCTAACTGCAAAAGAAAAAAATCTGCAGGGTATGCAGCTCGGCGGAGGATTCCATGTACCACATGGACTCTTGAAATACGATCGCAGGGTTCTGTGCAGCCTGGATTGGCCCTTTTCCCCTTCCCAAGAAATTCATAGGCAAGGTTTCTGATGAGACCTGTACGAACTGGCTGTGTTTCCAATGTCAATCTTGGCTTATTTTCCCTGTTTCCTTTTAAATCTCTCTATTTTCCTCTTTCTGTTTATTCGTCCCAACTTTCGTTAAATCTCATTACCGGCTTTTTTTGCTTATTTTAATACTGCTGTTTTTTTCTTTCGCTCATCATGGGGTTCCTCGATGGCTTCAAAGCCAAATTTCGCAAAGAGGCAGATGTAACCGGAGAAAACACTGAGCACAACACTGAGCACAAAAATGTGGCACCCAATGATGACACCCTTTCCCAGTCTGGAGGTCAGACTTCAAAGCCCTCCAGTGAAAAAGAGAGCACTCTAGTAGATGAGCCTTTGATGAGAAATTCGACTCCCAATGATGACACCGAGAAAGAACTTGCGAGCCGTGACACTCCAACGCCTGTTCACAACGACTCCAACAGGGAACTGGTCCCCAAGGAACCATTGGACAAGCAGCCAACACAAGAAGAGAAAAAAGAGGACGGTGACGCCGAAACGCCGGAGGATGAGGAAGAATATCCAAGCGCATGGAGATTGACTTTGATCAGCATTGCTCTCTGTCTATGCGTGTTCTGCGTGGCATTGGTATGCACTGCCAGGTTGCTTTACTTGATGATTACATCCAACTAACACCAATGTCCAGGACAACACAATTATTGCAACAGCAATTCCCAAGATCACCGATCAATTCAACTCACTCGAAGACGTCGGCTGGTATGGAAGTTCATATCTCCTGACAACATGTGCCGTGTCCCTGATGTTCGGCAAACTCTACACATTCTACTCGATCAAGTGGATATATCTCAGCGCGCTCTTCATTTTCGAGATTGGTTCGCTCGTCTGCGCTGTCACTCCCACCTCGGTCGGACTTATCTGCGGCCGAGCAATTGCCGGACTCGGAGCAGCTGGTCTTTTCTCGGGCTCTATCCTCATCATCAGCAAGAGTGTACCCCTGGTCAAGCGACCTATGTATACGAGTCTCATTGGAGCGATGTTTGGCATTGCTAATGTAGCCGGTCCTCTGTATGTTGCTCCTGTTTCTTGATTGCCGAATTATGCTAACTTCTGACAGTATGGGAGGCGCATTCACCGACCACCTCACTTGGCGTTGGTGTTTCTATATCAACTTGCCTATCGGAGCAGTGACTTTCCTCTTCGTGCTGTTTTTCTTCCAAACGCCTAAAGCCATCATGAAGAAGAACACCTTGAAGGAACAGATCAAGGAGCTGGACCTGATCGGTTCCCTCTTTTTCCTGCCCTCTATCATCAGCTTGTTGCTCGCGCTGCAATGGGGTGGCACCAAGTATGCATGGGGCAGCGGACGCATTATCGGCCTATTTGTGGTCTTTGGCGTCCTCGGTCTCATCTTCATCGGCGTCGAGATCTGGGCCGGGGACCGCGCTACCGTCCCGCCGCGCCTGATCAAGAACCGTAACGTTTGGGGCTCGGCATGGTATGCCCTTGCTCTTGGTGCTGCCTTCTTCGTATTGACATTTTATGTGAGCCCTCTTTCCGTTTCTTTATTCCCACTTCCTACTCGTCCCAATCAAAGCCCTAACACTCTTAGCTCCCTATCTGGTTCCAATCGATTAAGGGTGCAACCGCCTTGAAATCCGGAATCATGAACCTGCCCATGATCATCGCAGTTGTGGTTATCTCTATTCTGGCTGGTGGCCTCGTCACCGCCTGCGGATACTATACTCCCTTCATGATCGCCTCGGCCGTCATCATGACCATCGGCGCAGGACTCCTGACGACCCTAGAGACAGACTCAAACCACTCTAAGTGGATTGGATACCAGGCAATCTTTGGTATCGGTCTGGGTCTGGGCATGCAGCAGCCCATGATCGTCGCTCAAACTGCCCTGAAGGTCGAAGACATACCCAGTGGCACAGCTATCGTCATGTTCGCCCAGACTCTTGGTGGCGCTATTTTTGTCTCCGTCGGGCAGAATGTGTTCCAGAACCAGCTCCACCGGAACTTGGCTCAGTATGCGCCTGACCAGGACGCTGCGAAGATCGTCTCTGTTGGCGCTACTATGCTCCGAACTGTTGCCAGTGGTGATGCCCTGCACCGTGTCCTAATTGCCTATAATGCCGCTATTGTGCAGACATTCTACGTTGCTGTCGCCATGGGCGCATTGTCGCTCGTTGGGCCCATCTTCGTTGAGTGGTTGTCTGTCAAGGGCAAGAAGGTCGAGGTGGCCCCTGTTTGAGGCTCAAGTTCGGACGGGGCAAGTCTTTTCGTGCACATTCTTAATTTCCGTTCCCTTCTATTATTTTGGCTCTGTTACTTGTGGGATGGTCTACGGAATATTGTACTGGGCCATGTGCCCTTACCTTTCTACTGTTTATGATAATTCATGCGTATATTAATGTCGGATAAAAAGCCCAATCAATATCTTTGCTTTATGTGATGGAATCTATGTTTCGCATGAATCCTTTGTTATTTCTCGATTAAAATAGACGCATGTCCCCATCTCAATGGAGATGTCTAGACTGGAGAGCAGATGCATATAAAACTTGATTCCAACTTGGAAGGAACCATGGAAGGTCTACCGGGTTGTATAGATATAAGGTCAGCAGCAGGAAGGTTTATGGTAGATCTAGTATATATTTTGATACCGGCAACAGTAAAATGAACGTTTTCTTCAGTCTTTTGACATTGAACCGGGTTTTAGATAACTATTTTATTTGGCCTTCAGGGGGAAACCCGTTTGACATATTAGTGTACCAATTGCTTTGATAATACAACGCTGAAGTATCACAAAAGAAGCAGAATGACAGACAATACCTAAACCCCAGCATATAGACTCAAATACACACCCCAGATCACCCCACATGCACTTCCAAAGACCACTCGTCGATCTACAGGAATGACTGTGTACATCAAGACTGAAACAATAGGCCGATACTTTAGACGGGCACTCATAAGAGGCCGGAAATCCTACAAAAGTCAGCATCTGCGTACTCAACGCTATTGCTCAACAGCAGAGCAACTTACCAAAATAACCAACTCCCATGACTTCGTCAGAGTCTCTCCCTTCAGCAGATTGATGATAACCACAAACAGCACGAGGTTTACAATTGAGGCAGCCGTCTGATCAAAGAAGAATTTCATGACGAAGCTACGCAGCCCGGATGTCTGCGCTCGCGGGGCCCATCGGACATGCTTTTCTTTCTCCTTGTGGCTGGGGAGCGAATCATCCTCGCGAGATCTCGAAAAGAGGGAAAGCCATGCGCGGGGAGAGAACATAGATTTCAAGGATCGAACACTGAATGCATTTGAGACTTCGGCACGCGTAGGAAACCCTGGATAACGCGCTTCCAGGGCGCGTTGCCAGTAGAAATTGGGGGCCACGATTAAGATGCCATAGCCCAGAAATTGGAGGAGAGCCAATGTGTTTAGAGTGAATGGAGCCTAAGATTCTGTTAATGTCATGTTTGAGCATAGAACGTAGAAGTTCTTACTTTGTTGTTGCGCTGGTCAATCAGCTGCGCGAGGACGTTGGAGATGGCATTCAAAATCGTCGCCTGCACGAATGTCACAATCAGGGCCGAGGTCATAATGAAGAAGCCCTTTCGAGCAGATCCATGTAAATATCAATGTTCAAATGTACACAAATAAAAAGCTCGAAGGCTTGCCAAGCGCGCAACCGTGTCCTGAGAAGTTGAGAGGTAGGGGGCGATAAGGCTGAGAGATTAAGCGACAATTTTTATGTTTCAACTTTTTACATCTTCTGCACCGCTTTTAGAATGATAAATTGCCCAAAATAACGTAATTTACTAAATTATCTCCGTCGGAATACAACATTCGGTCCGTTCTTCGCGGAGGTGAAATGATCCGTCAGCGCCAGGTGGCCCCCCGCGTCTTCGCCTTGACGATCCGCCAATGACATGTCAAAGAGGAACACCAGCCGCGCCAGTGTCAGCCGCATCTCCATAAAAGCCATGCTCTTGCCAATGCATCCACGGGGCCCAATGCTAAACGGACAAAATGCATGCCGCGCAGTCTCAATGCTCTCCTTAGTGGTCTGCCAGGACATTCCAGAGGCCGTGCAGGTGGCGTTCTCAATCCAGCGCTCTGGCATAAAGGTCCCTGGTTCCCGGTAGTATCGCTCTTGACGGTGGATGGAGTATGTTGGTGTGCCGCAGTCTGTGCCGGCCGGTAAGAAGACGCCGTCGACTACGGCGCCACCTTGCATCACTTCGCGGGGAATCGCACCGGGCACGGCTGGGCACAGACGCAACGCCTCGTCGATGCATGCTTTGAGATACACCAGTTCGCCGAGCGGGCTGCTGGTAATGATCTCTTCGACTTCGTTGAAGGCGCCGCGCACCTCGGCGCACAGCTTGGCCAGTGCATCTGGTCTCCGAACTAGGTAGAAGAGTGTGGCTGCCAGTGTAGTCGAGGTTGTGTCGCTGCCCGCAATCATGAGGACGTTTGACTCGCCCCAAAGCTCGGGCGTGCTGAGTCCATTGCCGGTCTCAGGGTCCTTCGCGTTCAACAGGTAATAAAAGAAGTCCTTCTTGGCGTCCCGACCAATCTGGGTACGTTCCTTAGCGCGCTCGTTGGCTTCAACACGCGAATTCATAATGAAGTTCCATCGGTCGCGCGTCAGCTTGCGGATGAATATCTGGTCCAGACCCCATGTGTCCAGGGGCATCCAAAGTCCACACTATAACTGAATCAGATAAAAGCGTTCCTTAATAATAGAAAGAAAAAAAATAGAAATGCTCACCACATAGTGCCTGTTCGCAGCACGATCCACCAACCCAACTTTATATCTCAGAGTCTCAGAAACAAGCATGTCGAAGCTCTTCCCGAAGCAGAGCTCGCCCATAACATCGTACGAGAGATAACTAAACCAGTCACCCATGTTCTTGACGTTGCCCTTCTGATCATGCGATTCGAAATCTCCATCATACCCAGCTAGTACGGCACACAGCTGACGCACATGGAGGAGCATCACATCCTCCATGCCCTTGAGAGCATTCTCTGAGAAAGCCTGGCTAAGCACTCTCCTTTTGCGACCATGCATGGTTTTATCAATAGCGTTGTGCGTGTTATACACGCCCTTGATAGCGGGGAAAGCATTGTAGAAACTAGCCTTCTGAAGGCGTTTCCCGTGTCCATAGATATCGTGCAATCCACGGTCAGAGTTGACAGAGACGAAATTAGGCGCGACACGCACGTGTGTCCCGTACTGACTGTGCAGCTTGTGTAGCCAGAGATGGCGGTCACCCTTCAGGCCATGGTAGAGCTGGACCCAGGGTGTGATAGATGCGAGGAAGGGGCCGTTGATACGGCGGAGGGGGTGGATGAAGCGATTGTAGAGGGTGTAGGTGAGGGTCTGAAGTGAGTTAGATTATCCTACTTCTAGGACACGATATTTCTCGGAAATGGGTGACAAAGGGCATCAAAAAATATCAAAAGGACAGGATATGCGTACCGCTACGGCTAATAGCCCTACCAAGCCTCCCAGAACCCTCTGTAGAGAAAAGCACCCCAGCACAGATTCAACGAGCATTTTGTGAGATGATCATGAAGAAACCTTGGATTGGCTCAGCACATTACCTAGGTACTTATCATTATGTCTCGAACTTCCTTTATACTCCAGATACCGCCGATACCCGCCCCCAACCGAATTTGGTGGTCAATGACGACGGCTCCGTACAACGAAATAGGTCAGCCGTCGCTGGTGGGACTGGAGCTCCAATTAAGAGTTGCTAATTTCTACAGATAGGGTCTTGTTTGATTCGGTTATAGGCGGTTGTTTTGTGATGATCCATACATGCCTTGCTGCGCCGATGATTGGTTATGCTTAAATATCCACGCACAATCGACATTATGGTATCCGCGGGGAAGCCCGCTTCATGTCCAGTACTTTTGTGGGGATCCGGGATTCCCGTGGCTTTTTGGGCTCTAATGACAAAGAAATGAACATTTCAATCTGAGGCCTGGTAATAATCATGGAGGTTCATTCTCGTTACATACGTAGGAATGCAACATATATGAATTTATCCTTTCTATTTTTGGCAGACTGCCGTCATTCATAATTCGGTCATACATAGCATCCCTTGCTAGCATATATTCCCCTCTATCGACTCCATTGGCTCGGTTTCTCCTGGGATGTGTGATAATAATACCACCGTTATTAGCCGAATTACCGTGGGTAATTAGATATCCGTTCCGAGGAGCCGTCCTTTTCTGGACCGAGGAATGCGCCAAACACAGTCAGGGATACAGAGTAAACACCTTCTTTCGCACGAGGCTGTCCTGCAACATCGATATCGGCATTGAAGCTGGTGATAACCCCAATAACGTGCCTCCCGAGGTGGCCGATTCGGAATCATGAAGATGGCCCGAAATGGTACTTTTTGAGGCTCAAGCTTTGGTGCTCGAGGTCAAATCCATGTAAGATGATGTTTAAGTAGTGTGCCCATGTATTCCTCCATCCAAAATCCACTGCTCATTGTCGTCGTTGTCATCTTGCACACGGCGCCAAGTCTGTTTTCGTTGAGTTTGCTCCGCTGCTTCAGCCTGCTTTATCTCTGGGGCTCGCCAAACAGGTCGCATAAGACCACCAGCTGCGAGAAGGGGGTTGCGGCTGAAAGCATGTTGTCCTCGCGGGCTGTCCTCCGCACCTCCTTCATCAACAAGGTCAGGCTCACTGGCCTCTGGGGCTGACTCTGCCGGTGCGGAATGATACACTCGGCGGACCTTGCCACCTTTGATATCAAGACTCATCACAGTCTTCTTCCTCTCCCACTCAGGACGAGCCTTCTCGTCCATCTCGCGCTGAATGCGCTGCTGCTTCTTGAGCGCTAGTGCTCGTTGTGTGGGTGTCATCCACAAGGTTGAGGCGACATTCGGAGTCTCGAAATCTGCTGTTTCGTCGACAACCTTGGTCCGGCGGGCATTTTGTGCTTGGAACTGGAGCAGCTTGTCCCGGTGTGCTTTCGCGGCATCCAGGTTGCTGGGAGGTTCGGACCCGGAAGTAGGCCTAGGACCCCCTTCATGATGAACACCTTCATTGTGTACGCGCATCTTCTCTTGTCCACGCTCCGCCCGTAGTTCCCGAATCATACCTTGCACTTCTTCGGCGGAGAGGAGCGGTGTGTCGCAGAATGAGCACGGCTGTAGACCTTCGAGTGAGCAGATAATTTTGCCGCAGTTGAGGCAATTGGGTGCCGGATCAAATACTGGGTGTATTGACCCATAGCAGGTGCAGCTGCGTCTCTCCCCCAGACTCGGATTGGTCGATACCTCCAGCGCGGCGATAGCTGCGGTGAGGTCGGAGATGTCGTTGGTTGTGAGAGCTGGGTTTGCCTTGGAAGACGATCCCGCCCCTCCACCTTGACGTGTTGACTTGCTCACTTTTGATCGCACATTTGGTAACATGTCCGAGATCGTAGGGCCACTCGCAGATGGCGGTGGCTTCGGGGATGATGTGGGTACAGGGGAGGGAATGCGCGACGAGGCCGAGGACCCATGCGGTGATGGTGCAAGAGTGGGAGCAGCTGGTTTTCGAGAAGACATATAGTCTTCTTCATCGGCTTTCTTGTAGCCACCTCCTACATCGCCGTAGTTGTCGGGTCGACGTGGTGGGCCTACGGTGTGCAGCGGAGCCTTCTTTTTGCCCTTCTTGGCTCCTCCACTTGATCTCGATGCATCTCTGCTTTGTGTGGAAGGGTTCTGAGGTGGTCGCTGGGGTTCTCGGCGTGCATTAAACGAGGAGATGAATTCTAGGGCGGCCGGGGAGTCGCCGAGGAGGTTTTTGAGGTAGTCGGCGCATGCCTCCCTCGAGAGACTAATGGCATAGTCGATAACCTGAGAAAGTGAATCTGGATCCAGCGGGAGAATCTGGGAGAGACGAGGAGCTGCCCATGCGCTAATATCAGCCATATTGCAAAATATTTAGGTGTGGTTGGTGAATGACAGGTGAAATGCCCGCGGATCCCCGCACACCCGGCCCCGGGGGTGGCTAAACCACCTACATAACCTTGGAAGGCACAAAGCCTCCAAAGCACCAATCAACTCCAACCTGTATTCTTGGACCAATAAACACACATCCAATGTCAGTGGATAGAATTTCCCTTCGCAAACTCGGACACTAGGATTATATTGCTGAAGATCATGTGTAGTAATTTTTAATGCAGATTGTGGTTTACTTTGAGGCCTCCTTCGACCATAGATACATAAGAAATTGCTTCTTCCGTAGGAAAGCAACCTCCCCGTCTTAGTTTATCATATAACAGTCAGGATATATCACAGCGAATAATGAAAAGGCCACATAATCACGAATCAATGACATGACTACACGTACCTAGGTAGCACTGGAAGAGACAAAAATGTATTCCGAGGAAGAGAATACACCTACATATAGGTACGGGCAAGGTCAGACGAGCTAACCTGGGATGGTTTCCAAGGTTAAACGGGGGTACCGATAGTAATAGCAAACTTACCAATGCTCGAGACCGCTAGAAATATCAAACAAAAGAAACAAAATTTACCTAAAAGAAATGATCTTGACTAGAATCACGTCGAAGACAGGTCAGTCTATTGTAGCTAACCGGCACTTGTGCATCATAACGATATTGATGGTGCCCAGGTATTTTGGGAGTGGGATCAATTTGCAGCATAAATGTGATGCTGTATATGTAACTCATGGACTTTTTGGCCATCCACTGAGTTCAGAGTAATAAGAAACGAAGTAAATATTGATATTAGCACAAATCAGTTGCATATTTCTTGCATGCCTCTGCAAGTTGTATTTCATGTTATCAAGTAATGTACATCCTACAAAGTCCATCCCCCTCGTCATCATTCATCTATGCAGATTTATTCGAAGGAAAGGTCAAACCATGACCAGACCAAACCAGACCCAGAGACGCCATGGGACATAACCAGCCCATCAAAACAAAGCTCAAACGCCGCGGACACCATGATAGGAAAAAAAGGGTATGGGAAAACAAATGGAAGCTTAGTCGGCGTTCTCGCTCTTGATGTCGTCGTCGTTGTCCTCAACCGTGAATGATTGCTTGAGCTTACTGGGACCGGGCTTTGTGGTGTAGCCCTTCTTGGGTCCATTCAGTTTCTTCTTCTTGGTGGGGCTGGGACTTTCTTCGTCGTCATCTGCGTAAGGACGCTTGGGTGCTGATGAGCTGGGACTATTGCCATTGCTAGCTCCACTGTCTGTGGGAGTCTTATTGCGGCCGGTGCGACCACCGCAGACGCAGCGTTCAAGGTGTTGGGCGAGACGAGTCATGACAAAGTAGCGCGGACAGATAGGACACTTGGTGGTTGGAATTTCAGGAATGGTGCTGTCTCGGTCACCCTTCTTTTTCTTGGGGTTTGGCATGACTGCAAAGAGTTTGCCGTGGACGTCATGGCCGGGTTGGTTGATCATGGGTACATTTGTACAGTACTCGGCGTCAGGATCGGGAGGGGGGCAAGAATTAGCCCCGGTGGTCGGGTACATGAGTCTGGGGAGGCGGCAATCTGGGCACACATGCTCCTTCACGGTTTTCATGGGATTGCCCTTGAGGAAGACCTTTCCGCGGTTGAAAACGGCTGCATCCGTCTCGACGCGCATACCCGCAAGCTTCTTGGTGTCGAGAACAATTTCTCTCTTTGTATCGGTCGAGGTCTTGCTGGGTGCCTCCTCCGGCATGATTGCATCTTCCTCCGCCTTCTGTCGGGCGAGAACCACCGCAGACCGCATGCGCGCCACCTTCTCTTCGCGGTGAACCTTGGCCACAAGGTCGTGGATGATGTTCTGGAATGTTTCGTTCAGGATGTCGGTAGCCTAGACAAGAAGTCATTAAAACCCGTATTGCACAACCCATGAAGTTCGCTCAGGCCCATCATACCACTTTAGCGATCGTTCCGGCAGGATAGGTCGGCCTGCGACCACCGCTGCTGTTGGAGTCGGCCATTTTCGGATTGCGGCCGGAGATGGATGCGCCAAATATTTCTCGTCCGGTCCTGATTGACCGACGGCTGTGTCTGCCCGCGACACAGGCAGTGAGTGCTCCGAACCGCTAGGTCCGAGGCTTAGTTCTCCATGTACTGGAAATCTATGCAGGGTTGACGCAATGGGTGCACGGATGTAGGAGAGAAGAAAAGAGAAGAAGTCCAAAACATAGAAGCCGAAATATAAGGAAGAAAGAAGACAATAGGGAGGCCTGAATTGTATAGCCTAGTGTAAGGCCTATTGTCAGTGAGCTTCAATAATGGGGGGGCGAGGTAGGATTAATAGCCAGCAACAATAGGGGAAGACAATGTAATCAATGAAGGTCTTCTATCGACGCATACAATAGAGACCAGGCATCGACAGCAAATAGGGCACTGACCTATTGAGGTGTCTATTTGCATGCAAATCAAATATCACTCGGGGAGATGAAGAGACGGATGAGGCTGGAGCAAGTTGTTCACTGTGCTTATCTCTTATCGTATCTCCGCATTCGCTGTCCAGGTGCCTCTCTGCTTGTTCTTTCACGAACAACCATGAAAACCGTTCCAAAATGGCATACCAGCTGTTTGCAAAGAATCAGACAAGGCCAGCGACTTCTTCGTCTTCGCTCTCTCCTCCCCCGACCAATCGTCACCCTGCGCGGCCTCCCATCCACCCCCCTCCAGTCCAACCGCCTCGATCAGCCGTCGCAAACACGTCTGGCCCGAAATGCTCGAAAGAAGAAATCTTTGTCCCATATTCTCATGATACTCCAGCTGGTGTGGCGACTCCACACCCCCATATAACAGTCGAGAAAGTCAACACTGCGCATATCCCTTCCTTGACGCGGATCACGGGCTTACTCCTTCCCATCCGCTACCCAAACTCGTTCTACACAGCTATCATAACTGATCCGGTGATCGCTTCTCTTTCGCGGGTTGCCATTTACCATGACCACCCTGTTGCTGCAGCTCCGGGGTCCGGCGCATCTGCCGGGACGGACAAGGTCATTGGGGGCATTCGGTGTCGGCTAGAGAGAATCCGACAGGTAGAGGACTCAAACAAAGACAACCGAATACAAGGGAATGGATGTCCGACAAATCTCTACATTCAGACTCTACATCTTCTCTCGCCATACCGGGACCGTGGTGTGGCAGCATCACTATTGAATTCGCTTCTCTTTGCGTCGCCCCCGGACAGCAAGGGCAAGGACTCATACCGGGTGTCCGAGCTTGTTAGGCACTATAACATCTGCTCTGTTACAGCACATGTCCACGAAGCAAACGAAGAGGGGTTGAATTGGTATATTGCGCGTGGATTTAGGGTTGACGGTGATGTAGCCGAATACTATCGGCGACTGAAGCCGTCGGGCGCGAAGATCGTACGACTAGATTTGAACTGGAATGAGAAAGATCAAACAGATGCTCCGACAGAAAGCAATGCCAAAACTACGACTTCTCCCAGTGAAGTAGAAGACGAGGACTGGGAGAAGGTGGAGGCGGAGGATGGCGAAGAAGATGACCATGGAATACAGCTTTTGAACGAGTCCCAAGTCCTCGAAAGGCAGGATACGCCCTCGCGCAAGCGCAAGGCTGAAGACGACAATCACAAGCCTCGAGTTGAGTGAGATGTGCTTTGCATGTGCGGCTTTCTGATATACCTTGGATACCCATTGCATTTGTTTATGCATCTGATTTAGAATAATGCGTGTGCTGAATTTCCGCTGCGTGCATAATGACAATTTACTTGAATATGATAAATGAGAAATAAAGATATACAGTCCTACGTGCGGAAGTTGAGCATTAGAAGAACTGGCATAATATTCATTAACTGCAACGCCATGGGTATCGAATCAACAGAAGACAGCAACGCTACATTAGATGTTATAGTTCTCGGCATGCAAAAAGATCTCATCTCTTGACGAGTCCATAATCACCTGCATCTGCAGTTTGGCTACCGTGTTGGCGACTTCAACTCGCATGCTCGGTGGACCGCAGACGAAAACACACGCACGGCGACCAAAGGTTTTGGAAAACTCATTGACCATCTGAGTAATGTTTGGACGGAAGTAATCAGTCCGCCAGTTATCGCGTGCACGTGGCTGATAATAAGCAAATCGTGGTGCAGGTGCTGGTGATGGCCATTGTGGCACAGGTTGAGGCGCGCCGAATCCGAAGTCGAAGTTTGGGTTGCCATAACCAGTTGATGCAGCGGGGCCATGAAGGTTCATGGCAGGCTGGTAGTATTGGCGGGTATTGGATGCATGGGTGGCCGTGTACGCATTGGGAAGAGCAGCGACACCGTCTTCATTCTCACGGCGTAATTCCTTTTCTATATCAGGGTTGCCGGCAGCTTCAGCGCGGATATAAGCCGAGTTTCGCTTATCGATGCCCTGGAGCATGCCATAGATCTTCTCCTGTACTATGTCCCGTCCAATTTGGTCGTCTTGCTTCACTCCGGTGAGGAAGAAATGACAGCTCACGATGTTGGAAGGTGCGTAGTCACGGCAGATTCGTAGTTCTTCTTGGAACCATTCCATCGTCTCGGGGCTCTTGAGTGCCCAAATAACTTTGACTGATTTGGTGATAGCCTTGCCATCTCGAATCTTCTTGATGAGGTCCAGCAGTTGGCTTGCAATGGCGGTAATACCACTTCCTCCGGCAAAGAAGATTACGTCGTCGAAAGCAGCCATCTCGCGCTGCATACCACCGTAAGGCCCTTCTACAAATGCGCTGTACGTTTTGTAGGGGCCATGTTCCAAGGCTTTCTGGAATACCTCGCGTGTGAAACCATGGAATGGTCGGAAAACCAGGGTCATGTCACGATACTTTTCACCATACGCAGATGGGAAGTCGTCGCTGCAAAGAGAGGCAATCGTGAAAGGATGGCTCTGGATCACAGAAATCCTTGGCAGTCTGAGGTAGACATACTGACCGGGCCTCCAACGCATCTTTGTGGGAATGGTGACCTTGACGGCATTTTGCGGAAGAAGGGTTATGGCCGATTCTTCTCCGATCAAAAATGACGAACGCAAAGGGTGTGTCCAGTTCAAGTAAAACAGCCGGATGGTATATGAGATGACCCAAATGGCAAGTGTTGTGAAAAGATAAGCCCATGATGACAGGTAGTTCCTGGTGTGCCAGAAGAGCATCGCCACAAAGATGTACGAGACTGGGATATGAACAAAGACAAAAAGCTCATACATCCAATTGCGAAAGATTGGAAGAGAATGAATACACAACACAAGCAGAGGAACTAGCGCCGCAATTCCAGTCCCATACACATAGGCGTGCGGTGGAATGCCCATTCTATAGTTGACCAAAGCGCCGTCTTCCCAGATTGGAGTGATGTAGAACGGGACCATATGAACCAAACTGAGGAAGAGGCAGATATAGGCTGACCAGCGGTGCAGACCATTCAGCCGCTCAGGACCAAGACCAGTCATCATAGTGATAAAGTTTGCCTTGGTGCTGAGTGCAACAATCCAGGGGATCATAGCTACTGCGAGCATGCCTGCCCGAATAGCAAGCGGCGGTGACCCCAGCGCAATTGACCAGTAGTATAAGGGCTGTGGCACAAAACAGTATAATGCGACGAAGATAAATGCAACCAAGACAATCGCCGTAACCGCTAAAGATGGAAAAACAAGCTCTATCTTCCCAACCCTCAGGACGGGAACTGGTCGATAGAAGATCCATCGTGTAAAGGCAATTGCCTTGTTCAAGGGAACTATCCTAGCAAGAATGGATTCGTGCCTCTTAGGTGGAGAGACTGCGGTCGGCGATGGAAAGAAATGGGCGTTGGAAGCATCAGTGCCTGCACTCGGGAGTTCGTACTCGTCCGGTACCGAGTCGTCGCGAAATATCTCTGGTCGGTTTTCTTTGTAGAGGGCAATCCGCATCTTGTCGCCCCATTTATGCCAGCATCGGATAAAGGTCGTGATTATCAACAGCACGACAGCGAAATAGACAAATCCCACCCCATATTTTGCTGACTTTGACCATGGGTCTCGCTGCATCTCCGCCGCCTCGGCTGCAGTCGTGGATGCCGTGATCGCAACATTGATGCGCTTGGCAATAGTGCTCAACATTTTGCAGTGGGTTGGTCGGCAGCACTCGACAGTGATATTTTTCTGCAATTGCTTCAAGTTAAATCCATCTCAAGATAGTGTCTTGCAGGGAAGAACCTACCTTTAGGTATCACCCGCGTACAAGAGGCTTCCTCTCTTGTACTATGTACTATAGTCGGACTGGGCTCATATCTTTACTGGTGCTATCAATATTGATGTCATCAAATTCAAGAAGCGGAAAAGGAAATTTCGAGGGAAATTCCGTCTAAATGTATGGAAAAATGGAAGCGGGGAGTCACACAAGCTTGCAGTCTGGGCAATGTGATAGAATAAGCCCAACAACGAAATATTGTGGCTGGTCAGACATTGAACCAATCAAATATGGCGATTAAAGACCGATTGATGAGAGCACAGGCGTCTCGCCATAGTGGTAGTGGTCGGAAGGCATGCGGGGGGATATTCCAGTGATGTGTGACGGTTTAGCGCTCTGAAGCCCAATCACAGGCGGTGATATTAGCAGCAGAGTGACTGGGGTGACCGAGCCGCATTAGCGTGGTGGGGAAGATGCAGAACACTCAGGTTATCATTCTCTCATTAATATTTATGTTGAAAATACCCATCCAATTATAATTGAACTATAATGCAGGTGTAGTTCATAAATCTCCGGCTGGTCGTGCCAGGGCCGAAATCATGGGAGTTGTCGCACATGAACTATGTATAAATAGGCTCGAGTATCTGGGTTAGCGTCTGTGACTCTATGAAAAGGCTATAGAGCGAAGAGATCGACGAAGCTATCCATGCGGAGTATATGTATATGGGAGTTTAGTAGCCGAAGCGAATAGCAACCAGTAGTAAACTGTAGTGCCGTAAACTGTATTGCCCTTGACGATAGACCTCCACAAGTAATATACGGCATATTCCGGAAATTCAGTACCATGCTTACCTATGCAATCAGACGAACCAACATTTCAACGTTTTTGAGAGAGTCATTTCGACTTTGGAGCTGAGGTTGTTCGTCGGTTCCTGCATAACGGCAATGATCTCGTCCCATGATATACAGCAGACAACTGTCGTGTCATATCCAACCTTGGGATATTAGACACCCCGTTATACAGGAATTTGTCATCTGATCCCTTCCAATATGAAGAGTACGTAGGAAATTTGGTAGTTCCTCTAGGTCTGTGAGACGGTGTTGTATACCCAAATTGGTGCCTGGGGCATCAGTGACAGCTTCGACCGCCTTCGATATGAAATTATTCTGCCATCTCATGCTCGTCGGCTTTTTCTGCATCTTCGATCATTTCCACATCAGTATTTGACAATAGTAGAGACATTCTATTTAGTCATGGCGTCCTCCACTACTCCCAGTAACCCGACACCTCCTTCATTATCCCTTCCACCATCTCAATTCGCCCGTCTTCAACCTCACGCCTACCTTCTCGCGCACCTTTCCCCTCCACCAGCGAGCAACCAGCCCTCAATCCGCGCGAACGGTCGTGCCACCTCACAATTCCGCGTCACATCAGCCAATGCTGGCTCTCTAACTCACACAAACGGCAGCGGAGTCGTACGAATCGGCGACACAGCTGCTGTCTGCGGCGTTCGCGCAGAGATCCTACACACCAAGGACATCGCTTCCTGGAGCGTGTTGCAGGCCTCATCAGAGCAAAGTTTCGACAAGTCAAATGACGCGGGAGTCTCAGAGTCCCAAGATGAGGAAGATCGAGGCCACATCCAAGATCTGAGCCTACTTGTTCCCAACCTTTCCCTCAGCACTGGCTGCGCGCCAGGCTTTACACCCGGCGCACCACCTTCTGCGCTGGCTCAATCACTTTCCCACCAAATTCTTTCCCTCCTGCACACCACCCGTCTCGTTCAAGCAGACGACTTGCGCATCTGGTATCAGCCACCGAATCTGGACTCGGAAGAATTCCGCAATGCGGGCGAGGGGATGGACGTGGATACAGAAGAGAGCGCGGGCCCTGAGCGGGAGATTAAGGCATTCTGGGTGCTGTACATTGATGTCATGATCATTTCTCTGGCTGGAAACCCATTCGACGCGGCCTGGGCCTCTGTATTGGCTGCGCTTCGGGACACGAAGCTTCCCAAGGCTTGGTGGGATGCCGATAACGAGACGATTCTTTGCTCGGACGATGTTGCTGATGCGCGAAAGTTGTCTCTGCGTGGTTTGCCCGTTGCTAGCTCATTCTGCTCTTTCGAGGGCGATGCCGCTGCTGGTTGGAGGGCGGTTGTCATTCCCGATGCTGAGGACCAGAAGCAGAAGAAGGGTGCGCAGCAAAGGTGGATCCTTGCGGATCCGGATGGATACGAGGAGGGGCTGAGTCAAGAACGGGCTTCTGTTGTTGTTGATAAAGAAAACGGGAAGACGGTCATTGTGAAGATGGAGAAGCACGGTGGTTGGGCTGTGGATAGTGATGATCTGCGGCACCTTGTGGATGTTTCAGCTCAGAGATGGGATGAGATGAAGCGGATACTGGATCAATGCTGATCAAATTGATATGCAATACAAATGAATGATACCACTACAAGTATTTCTTGCCATTTTGTTTTTAAATGGAGCTATGCATCGGAGTAGATCAAAACGGTGGTTGTCATTTGACAATCCACAAAATAATATCAGCTAATACATTCGCTTTGTCAGAATCTACTGATCACATCGCTAGTTTGCTGATTTCTTGTTCATCATGCTGCGTCGCCTTCTCTTTAACGGCGGTTCGTCGTCCCCATTGACATCCCTGCAAACAGACATCTCTCCGTCCTCTTCTTCTGTAGAAGTTGTCGGCAAACTAGCCTGGGTTTCAGGTCTGGACTTGCGAGGAATTGATACGGAGAAGGAGATCAGGTCCGAACTGTCACGGTCCTTTTTGGGCTTCTTCGTCTTGGCATCACGACCGCCTTCTTCGGATGATTTCGTTTTGGATTTTGAGTCATCGATTTTCTCTTCTTTGGGTTTCTTGGCCAGTGTTGTGTTCTCGTCTTTTGTTGCACGCATGTAATCACCAGAGAAGATGCGCATAAAGAGGCTCTTCCGGTCTTGAGGAGAAGGCTTGTCCTCGGCTTCATCTTCCTTCTTTTCCTCTTCAATTTCCACCTCCTCGGCATCAGAGAAGTCCCACATTGTGTCAATCTCACCTCGAATAAGTGCAGTACCCCAAAGTGATGTCAAAACGCCCGGTACCAGATAAAGAAGAGCTGGCTGGGCATGATTCGAATATTGCATGGCAAGGAGGGTAGTAACCATCCCAACAACATAACCGAATATACTAGCTTTGAAGTAGATCTTTGGGAAACGCCGGGCATCATGGTATGGAGGCTGAAGTTCCAGCTGGAGTGGCTTGACTGATGGCGCCCAGAACCGCTCTCCCCAAGCGCCGGTTGCCGACTGATACTCAGGCTTGACAGTTGCTTGGTCTGACCCTTCGGGACGTGGCGTTTGAGCACCTTTCCGCTGGTAATATAGGAATAGATCGAATCGAAGTGCCAGCCCAATCATCATTCCCGGAATGACAATGTCACCCAGTCCAAGCATAGCCAATGGCACGGAGCCAGGAGCATCGCGAGAGGTGGGCGGGCGAGGAAACAGGAGCTTGATCGGTACATCCAACTTAGTTGCAACAGTGACCATCAACGGTGTGAAGAAGACAAAGTAGATATCATAGAAAAATAAGGATCCCAAAATGAGTGTTCCTGTCCAGAACGTGGAGGGAGACATGAATTGCAGGGTGCCATAGCAGAAGCAGAAACCGAGGAAGTTGGTCAACCACCATGGGTTCGCCACGAATGCAAAGTATCCTACAGCAGACAATGCAAAGATTCCGCTGATGATATCAAGGAGACCAACGAGGCATTTGAAGTCAAATAAGCCACGTATATGAGCTCGCACCTTGAGACGCTGGTAAGAGACATTTCGGCACTTCCAAAGCAGCCCTAGTACCATACCTGGAAGTGGCACTCGGCCCAAAATCCCAGGAAGAGGTGAATGCCGGATGGAATGTGGCTTGGCTGGATGATCCTCGGACGCCATGAAAAGGTGTTCGGACTGTTTCGCTTTCCATAATTGTCCACCTTGACGATAATACCTAGGAAACACAAATGAACGAATCATCAATAGCACATCCTTCAGGAATGCAAAAGCAAAGAAGAGTCCCATCTGAGAGAAGTAGAAACTAAGGATCTTGTTCAAGATGGCTGGATCTTCCAGCCATTTGATCACCAAGTATAAACCACCGAGCGTGAGTCCCGCAGTCAATGGGAATATCAGGGCATCTGATGGCTCAAGCCCCTCCATCTTCTGCAAAGGGCCATGTCCCTCTTCACCATCCGTGTCATATTCGTCTTTATCCTTGCCGGCTTTTTTCTTCGGAGGTTTAGTAGCGGAGGAAGGTCTTGTCAAAGATGCATGTGCACCAATCCAAATTGGAAATAGAGCGGAAACAAGTAGGTGTCCGTAAGTTGGAAGAAGTGGCCTCAGACGGTCGAAGTGGTAGAGGGCTTGTCCAAGAAGCTCGGCGACAGGGCTGACGTCGGCCATGGTGGACAGGAAAGTGTAGACTGTAAGCACCGGGCAAATGACAGTAAATTGAAGCCAATAAACAAGAAAAAGAATGAATCAGACCATAATGGCCACAAAGGGTTGGTAGTGTGGGAGATTCTTTGAGGTAGGTAACCTGTTAACCTTCCAAGCCCTGGAGGTGGGAAGCTTCCCGGTGCACAGAGGGGCTTAGTGACCACTGCATAAATTAATTCACCGCTTTCTACGCCCATCTACATACATAACCTTGATTTCTTCACATTATCCATTCATCTCATTCTTGATCATTCTTGCTAGATCCCTACCTAATTTTGTAGATTCGATTAACCCCATGTTCTTCCTTCCAGCTCATAGCTATTCTCGTGATTGTGCAATTGCCTCAACCCATTAGTTTTAACGTTCTTTAATGTAATATGTAGCTGCAGACCATATGCTTTATATCATACTTGGATAGTCTAATCGTATAAATGGCTGTTAATACCGCCCGTAGTAAATTCCAAAACCAAAACTCTGTACATATATATATACACTATGATAGCCAGCTTGCTTCCATAACACTATAGCACTGTGGAAAACATAGCTCTTGAGCTTCTGCATCTCTTTGTCTTCTATTATGGCCTATATGCATCTCCCTTTTCTACAACTTTTACAATTGTAAATTGTAGTGTGAATCTATAGACATGGCGGTACTGGTTTTCTGCCAGATAAATTGGCCCAATGGGAATTGAGACTCGTATGGTCGCTGAACCCCTCCGTAACGTTGATCGATCCCGCTTCTCGCAAACTCTCAGCTCTGTTTTCCAGCTCTTTTATTTGCGATTCTACACTCACATCTTCATCATGACAACTGAGGTGGCTTTTGACACGTCTATGGTAACTTGCGCTTCATTGTTCTCTCAAGATCACTTGCTAACCCACCGCAGGGCTCCTTCTCCGTGGAGCTCTACAATACCCATGCGCCCAAGGTATGATCCCCTTCGCAGAGCTTCTAGGGAATCCTCACTAATGTCTTGCTCTTCAGACATGCAAGAACTTTTCGACCCTCGCCGAACGTGGCTACTACAACAATGTCATCTTCCATCGCATCATTCCTGACTTCATGGTCCAAACTGGTGATCCTACTGGCACCGGTCGGGGAGGTAGCTCCATCTACGGCGAGAAATTCGAGGACGAGATTCGAGGAGAGCTGAAACACACCGGCGCTGGAATTCTGAGCATGGCGAACAGTGGACCAAATACCAATGGTAGTCAGTTCTTCATCACTCTTGCGCCAACACCCTGGCTGGACGGGAACCACACGATTTTCGGCCGAGTGAAAAGTGGCATGAGAGTGATCCAGCGTATGGGACTAGTCAAGACCGGTGCGGAGGACAAGCCAGTGGATGAGCTGAAGATCATTCGGGCTCGGGTGGTTGAAGCAGGCACACAAGAGTGAGAGTCACGCGGTGCGGCTTATTCCATCGGGTTACGGTGGATGGTCATGCACATCAAGTATCTTCTCCCTGAAAAAGCGGGTGTTGCCCAATTTGGAGATTTTAGATTCCATCTGCGATGCGGGTTGCAGGCATCACCTTCGGTGCGCCCGGACCAAGTCATGCTAGGGCAGCATTGTCTTGCTGTTGTCTCAAGGTGCTATGAAAGCCTCCTGGACTCTACAAACTACAATATCAGAGTGGCAGAGCAAGCTACCACTCTAATAATGAGATTATGGATGTATCACTACAAAACGAACCGCTTCCATCAAATGTCTCCATCAAGAGCAGCAGATACAGAGTGACAAGAAATCTTATCTACCACTCCCAAACGAAGTCCAGTGAAGGACCGCGTCAATGAAGACCAGGCTACCATAGTATAGTAACCCGTTCTGTGCAGAACACCGGGAGTGGTATGGAGAGAGAAAAGTGTTCCGTCGAAATTTCAGTTCATATAGCGGTGCAGCCTAACCTCTTTGGGAATTGCTTAGTAATCCATACGTAAGCATGGCGATCATCGTATAGGATTAGAGTTTGTGTTTGTCTAGATACTTGACTTGTTTCCGTGGTCATATCTATATAGAGGTAGGGCCGGTGTAAGCATTATGTTGTAGCATTACCTAGAAGATAGAGAGTGCAAAAGAAGAGCAAAAAGTATAGTCGATTACATCAATAAAAGCTGCTGCGACTATCATTATTCATTCTTCATTCTTCGTCTCCTTGGTCAAGGAAATAGAAGTTAGCTCCGCTCAGTGCCCCAGCAACGACACTGCCATGGTCTTCATCTTCATATTTTCTTCGTACGACTGACCGTAGCCGTCCACTCTGCAGAAGTCGAACAAACATCTGGTCGCAATTGTCCCCCATTAGACGCTCATTGACTATTGCCAACCTTTTTTCGTATTCCTCCAAGGACTGATTTTTCTGAGGTATGGGAGACTGCTCAAGTGATCCATATGCCATCCAAACACTCGGCTGGTGATGCGGTTCTGGCATGTTGTAGAATTGCTCTTCTTCCTGTAACAGGAATCCATCGTTCCACCAAATTGACGGACTTGCTGCAAGATACGCGTCGAAGCTTGCGGGGGCTGTATAGAGCGCATGGAGAGCGAAAAGGGCCCCAAAGGAGTGTCCGAACAGAGCAGTCTGGCAGACTGATATGCGAGGAAATATTGACGAAAACACAAAATGGTGAACAGTGTTTGTTATGAAATGGAGGAAAGCATCTGCACCTCCATACTCCTGAGGGTTGGGCTTCCCATCCGGGCTTTTGGGCGAGTCATAATTCTCGCAGGGTGGAGTTAGATCATGGCTTCGACGAGGGCTGTAAACAGACCGGGTCATGGGTAGGATATTCCAATGATAATCGTCGATGTTTCCTCGGGTTTACGCATTCGCGGCCGCCGCACGATATCTGTTGCTGAGCGCATCATTGCATTGCCATCCACGATATATCTATAGATAGATTGAAAAGTGTTGGCTGATGATACATCCGCAATGGCACCCTCACTCATTGCGTTGGCTTTGTTGACTATTGGCTGATCTTCAGTCGATTCCCACTCCAGTGGCCACAAACCTTGAATAAGATATTTCTCGTCCTGCTTGCTTACGACGAGCCAGCTCGCCATATATTGGACATGACAGTCCCACTGTTCAAATGTCCACTGGTCTTCCATTGTGTGCTTCGGATCATGGGTGAGTTGGAAAGAGAATATCTGGGGCAGCAATTGTTGTGAAGAACGGGTTATTTTGAAGAACGGACGGTTATGAGGCTAAACCCTGAGATGAAGCTGTCTTGTGGGCCTCACAGAACGGCTAATCCGGCAGGAATAACCGAATGGTCCAGGTCTTCGGCGCATCACTACTGTTTTTGCAACTATTTGGAGGTAGTGTTGTGTAGAGTGCGGCAAGATCCGATTCCGTTTTCGCTGCTTGGCTTTCGAGGAGTAAGACTTTTTATTTGAATCATTTCTAGATCCTTTTTCGCATCATGCTAATTAGTACTGCATCACACAGGTTGCTGGTATCTTCGACGCTATCGGATCGACTGGCTTTGCCCTCGCACAGCAAGTCTTCATGGCGGATATGACCTCGTTAGTCAATCGTGGTATTTGGTAAACGCTACCTGACTCCTCACCACAATTCCAACTCTTTGCCTTGGTACTATCGTTGCTCAGCGCATCCTCGATCATTCAACGTGGCGATAGGGATGGGGCATGTGGGCGATTATCTTGCCCGTTGCATCACTGCCATTGATCGGCACCATACTGTTTTATCAACACCGGGCCACCATCTCCTGTATCTGTGTTTGAGGCGTTAGGCTGGAAAACCAGCGATGCCTGGTGGAAGAAGGTGTACAGATTGTTTTGGATTGAGCTTGAGTTGTCAGGGGCTGTTCTCCTTGTGGCTGGGTTGTCTCTCCTTTTGGTTCCTTTGTCCTTGACAGGCTCTAGTAACAGTGGGGCGTGGACCAATGGGTTATTTATCGCCATGGTGGTTCCTAGGCGTGGGTTTTCATAATAGCGTTTTTAGGTTGGGACACATGGTTCGCGAAGAAACCATTCGTACCTTATCGTATGATCAAGAACCGCACAGTGGCAGGTGCATGTCTTCTTGGGGCATTGGATTTTTTCCATTATTCAGTGCTCAGTGTCTTCTTCACGAGTTACCTTCAGGTAGCTGGGAGCTTCTCGCCAGGGCCTGCAACCAGAATTGAGAAAAGCCCCCCGCCTCATTTCGTACTAGCTATCTTTGTTGCTGTCTTCTTCTCCTCATGAGACTAATGTCTAACCTAGTACCTCCCTCCGTGTGGCCTTTAGGTGGCCGGAATATTCGCCGCTTTCTTCATGAAATATACGAAGCGCTCCCAGGTCTGGGTGTTGATCGGCGTTCCGCTCTGCGTTCTTGGAATGGGTGCACTTCTCTATCTAGCAGACATGGGAGATGGTCGCAGTGGAAATGAAGCATCTTTCGTGGCAGCCAAGTCATTGATTGGTATTGGTCGTGAGTTCTACCAAACGGCTGCACAGGTCTCAGTTCAGGCCGTGGTCTCGCGGCAGGATGTTTCCGTTGTTACTGCAGTATTTTTCGCATCAATGAGCGTCGGTGGTGCAATTGGGACAAGGCAAGCAGCCACACCCAGTCATATACTTGGTTCCCTTCTAACCCTTTCAAATAGCGTCGCCGGGGCAATATGGCGAAACACTCTCCCCAAAAAGCTGCAGCAATATCTTCCTAGTGAACTGAAGGGCCAAGCCAATTCTATCTTCGGATCAATTGTGGTAGCTCGAAGATATGCCATGGGTACCGAAGCTCGTTATGCCATCAATCGCAGCTACCGAGAGTCGCAAAGACTACTTGCGATTGCGGGCCTTGTTTCACTTTCAATGATGCTTATTGTGATGTTGTTCTTGAAGAACGTGAAGCTAGGTGAAGACAGTAGGACAGAGACAGAAGAGAAAGACCAAGCTCATGGGACCGCAGAAAAGGAAACAGAGAACAGTCACTCCTGAGGTATATATTTCTGAGAGGCAACCAGGTACCTTTGAGAGAAACGGAGAAAAGCCAGTGTAGGACATACTCCAATCATAGAATTCCTGTATTATTGATATAGTTTAGATTGAGCTCGTTTAACCAAAAAAATCATGTTCTCTTTATAATAAAATGTTCCTCAAAGTTGTCGAGGTTCTAAGGTTGTCCACGGCTGTTGACTGGAGTGGGGACCGGGTGACCGCCTTCATGCGCACTTCCCGCGTTTTTCTCCAATTTTTTTTTTTTCTTCTTCTTCTTTCCCCCAACAACCTCAGGTTTGTGGGATTTCCAGCATCGAAGCTTATGGAAAGACCGGGAATGCTTCAGTTGCATTAAATATCCCAATTCTCAACCTCATGAGAGCTTGAACTGCCCAACTTGGCTGTAATACTCGGACTTACCTGCAGCTAGGACGTTGTTCCTGATTCTCCATACCATGGAAACTCTGTCAGACACGACTTGGGATGTGATCATTAATGGGACTGGGGTTTCCCAGTCCCTTCTGGCACTGTGAGTGACTATCTTAGGGTGGTTGTGAGTTTAGCACTCACACTCCCAAAGGGCCCTCTCACGATCTGGAAAGAAGGTTCTTCACATGGACTCCAACCAGTACTATGGTGGTTCAGATGCAGCCTTCAGTCTTGATGAGGCCCAGGAGTGGGCAGAGAAAGTCAATGAAGGTAAGTTACTTGTTGTATGTGGCTAGTTGGTTCATGGCTAATATCATGTTGCCAAAACAGATGCACATATATCACCGTTCAAAGATGCCTCAATCTTTAAACATGATGCATCTCCTTCGTCCGAGGACATAAGCATTTCTCCCAAACTTGCGTCCAGTCGTGCTTACACTTTGTCCCTCTCCCCGTATTTCTTATATGCCCGTTCTCAACTAATGTCAGCGCTTGTATCCTCGAAGGTCTTTCGCCAGCTGGAGTTTATGGCCGTTGGCAGCTGGTGGATTTACGCACCTGAACAACCGGATTCTAAAAATGGCGAGGTCGGCGCGGAAAGGGTTCTCTACCGCGTACCTGGCAACCGGGAGGATGTGTTTGCTGCAACTCATATCAGCATGAAGTCCAAGAGAACCCTCATGCGGTTATTACGTCATATCACCAAACCAAATGAGGATGACGCTTCAAATGAAGATGAGGATATGTCAATGCCCTTGAACGATTATCTGGCTTCCAAGTTCAGCGTTCCGGAGGAACTTCACAATCCTCTGCTGTCCCTGTCTCTGTCCCAGCTTTCTCAGAAAGATACTTCCGCCAGCTATGCTTTGCCCAGGATCCAAAGGCATCTGTCATCCATTGGCCATCTTGGCCCTGGGTTTGGAGCTGTGATTGCTAAGTATGGCGGTGGAGCTGAAATACTGCAAGCTGCCTGTCGTGCATCCGCTGTGGGAGGGGGTGTATATGCCCTGGACACGCAGATTAATGATTGCTTATGGCGCACAGGCTCTGAACATTCAGAACATCCTTTTCTGTTGAATCTGGGCAATGAAGGGTCTGTCCAAGCGAAATACCTTTTTAGCTCGATGTCGCATACATTTTCTAAGGACAGCTCGACACCCTTGGTCGAGGTTGCCCGCTCGATTAGTGTTGTGTCGGCTACTTTTCCGTCTCTTTTCCCTGTTGCAGTTGAAGGTGCTCCTGTGCCTGCAACTGCAGTTCTCATGTTCCCAGGGGATACGTTGGGCAGCCCCAAATCCCCCCGGTCTATGTCCAGGTTCATTCAAGCGACACTGGCGAGTGTCCACACCAGCAGAGTAAGTCATTCCCTGTGCAGTCCTGCCTGGTATCTTCTCTCACCCCGCTCGCATGATGATTTTTTTCAAAAACTTATCTACATTGCCTGAACATGCTATGTTGAAAACCTTTTCACCTGATCACGAGCACCCTCCAAATTCGATTCGTCAACAATATTGTCGTTCACGTGGCTAATTGATTGTCACAGGTGTTATTTATTGCAGTGTGGCACTACCTGGGCCGGAAGGCCAAGCGCTTATTGAGTCCGCCGTGGATAGACTAATTCGGGCAGAAGGTCCCCAGGCCAGCGTGCTGTGGTCCTTGCGATACACCCATAGCGGCCGTCTCAGCAATGGTGAGCCCAGGCGTCTTACTGTCGAGGACGGAGTTCCTGACGGCTACCTTTTCCCTCCATCGAGCCTCGACTTGGCATTCGAAGATGACACCCTCGACCTTGTAAAAGAGGCTTGGAAAATAGTCGTAGGAGATGAGGTTGATGATGCTGATTTCATGATGTTTGACGATCGCGAGGGCACTTCTGACCAATGATTCGTAGCAGAGCGTTCTTTTCGATTACACTTTTACCCATATTTCCGCAGAGAAATAGTAGACTAGATGATTCTATCTTCGTCTTCAAATATGATCGTTATATAAAGTATCCAATGCTCCAAATCTCTTCTACAATGTACCGATGTTGTAAAGCTTAGATTGGTCAACTGGCCAATGATCTCACATGGTATTGGTAAAATCCGTGTGGATAAGCCGCTTTTCTAGGTTTAGCCGGTCTTCACGCGTTACTCAGAGTAATGAATCGCAAACTCCCCAACAAGTGTAGCGTGGACCCCTAAGATGAATAAAATGCAATGTCTGTGGCTGATAGTGACGCAGAATTAATATCGGGGCAAACCAGTTGGCAGAACGCCCCATTACGTCATGTTCAGGATACCTGATCGTTGATATAGATATTCCGAATATCTATCGGTTTCTTAAACGTAGATTCGAACTAATCTTTCCTGGAACAAAGCTTACCTTCATCTGGGCTTCTCATATCTTACACTCTCATTGTTCATAGATAAATACCTACCAGCTCTCACAATGCCCCTGGATAATGTCACCAGCGGTGTGAGCGGACAGCTTCCTGTCGACAAAGCCCAATCAACAACAAGCGGAGTGGTCAAGAAAAGCACACCAAAAAAGCTAAACCGAACGACAAAAGACCTGACCGACCCTGTCCTCCCAGGTCAATTTCCTTCGGACGATGCTCCTCCAAAAGGCGAGGGCGTCGACAACAATCTCTCGTTTTCATCGATATGGTCCACCATCACAGCATGGTTCTCTACGCTATTCCCTCAAGCCTTTGACTACTTCGAGTCCTGCATACAGCGACTGGTCGCCTGGCTCCTCCCCCCGCCCCGTCAAGCTGCGATGTATGAAGCTGCATTGAAGCGCCCTGCCGCAACAACCTTGATTGTTTGTCAAATGATTTGCTGTGGAGTTCCTCTACTGGTATTCTTGGCTGGCATGTTTGTCTTCGCTGCGGTGTCGATACTGCTCTGGGCTGTCCTGTCGTTGCTCATTCTTGGTCCGGTGTTGTTGGTCACAAGCATGATGGGCATTTCTCTGTGGGGCTGGGGTTGGATCCTCTATGGTTTGGTCAAGTGGGTTGACCAACGGTTCTTGGGTGGTATAATTACACGCTTTTGGCTTCGCCAGACCCAATCGGACTCGGCCGATGGAGAGGGTCAGCCCGAGGAGGAGAAAAAGGACGAGTAATGTTTGCATATTTCCCATAATTGAGAGGACATATGATTCTGTATAGTATACGCATTCTGAACCATATTGAGCATAAAATTGATATTGACATTAAAGACCAAGGGGTGTGATATTTTGTTTATATACACGCTCATCATACAAATGGTACCCCAGTGAAACTCTTAGGTATCGTATAAGTGTGCAAAACATAAATTCGTTTGTTAGAGTGGTCAGCATTGTAGGTAATCGTATAATCCGGTTGTGCGTTTGCCGAGACTTTGACGTTCAAACCAGGTAGACCTTCTAGTCTAGTCATATTGAACCCGTTGTTGACCGTGAGACCACTGAACAAGAATTTAAAAGAAACCGGCCCGTGCGCAGATGTTGCATTTAGATATGAGCTATTCAAAGACCGAGGGGTGGCCACGGCATGAATATATGACTCTGTGACCCAGTGTGAACTGCAGCCAATTTTATGATCGTCAATAGCCCGCCGAATGACGGCAGGATTGAATTGACTGGGGTTGATACTGGGACCTCCGACAATTGTCTCGGCAACCGTTTCTGCGCCAATGGTCATATCCTTGGACATCCTCGCGGTGATGTTGCGAGGATATGTTGATGTACGAAAGCTGCAGAAAAGATAAGACCAGTTCCATTTCCTACGAATGTAAGGCATTAAAAAATTACTTGAGCCACTTGTAACCGAGAGCGGCAATCTGATCTTGTCGAGTCACAAACAATGCAGAAAGCGCGAGAATCCCAACGCCGAAGGCCCACTTTGAGCGAGCAGCGAAAGTCGTATCATTGCCATCCCGGTCAAACGACGGGGTGACGGGTGCCACCAGCTTGTGAGCCTTCTGAACCGAGTAGGGGGATACCGGGCAGCGAGAAGCCACTCCAACCACGACGGCACCGCGTTGATGTGCGTACGGAGATGAGAGAAAGTCAAGATACCATGCGGGCCATGGTAACGACCCTGACCGGAATTTCCAACGCCACCGAATGGCACATCACAAGCAGCTATATGGAGACCGCAGTCGTTGAAGGTCACGCCTCCGGACTGGGTTTCGTTCAAGATGCGAGCTTTGTCGGCATCTTGAGTAGTGAATGCGTAGATCGCGAGTGGATGCTCTCCCGCACGCGTCCGAGAGAGAGCGGTATCGAAGTCTGCATCGACGATGGGGAGAATCGGACCGAAAAGCTCTTCGGAGAGAAGGGAATCGCCGGGCTTGACTCCAGTGACGATCGTTGGTGCGAAGTACAGACTTTGACGATCCCGCTGGCCACCATAGACGATCTTTCCAGAGGTCTGCTGGAGTAGATTGTCAAGGCGGTCGAAGTTGCGCTCGTTGATAATGTGTGTGTAATACTCTGGGTTGTTGGCTTTGCCTCCTAGGAACTTGTCAAAGTATCGACTCAAATCGGCGACAAGGCGCTCTCGTAGGCTCGGGTGGACCAGGACGTGGTTCACATTCAAGCAAATCTGTGTTCAGACAATATGAGTTAGCTTTTGATGGCTGGGGGGCTGAATAGTGCCAGTCTACCTGTCCAGCATTCATGAATTTGGTAACGGCAATGTGTTTTGCGGTGAGATCGAGATTCGCCGACTGTGCGACAATAGCAGGACATTGACCGCCCAACTCGAGTGTGACGGGAGTCAGATGCTTTGCCGCTGCTGCATGGATGATTTTGGCAACATTGGGGGATCCAGTGTAGAAAATATGGTCAAAGCGATGTTCAAGGATGTATCCCATTTCTTGTGGACCAGCGGAAATACACCGGATCGCATCTTGGTCCATGTATTGTGGAACAATTTCCATCAGTACATCTTGGGTGGCACTTGCCACATCTGATGGTTTGAGAATGACGGCACATCCAGCAGCAATCGCGGCAATCATTGGCTGCAGGAGCAGACTGACCGGGAAATTCCATGCGCCGATAATCAGAGTCACACCAAGAGGTTCCTTGCGGACAGTGGCTCTTCCTAGGAAGTTGAGAGGATCGGACTTTTCCGGTCTCTCATCCTTGGTCCACTCATCCAGTTTCTTGAGAGTGCGTAGAATATCCGCTTGAGTATTACCACAGTCGCCGGTGTAGGCTTCTTGATAGTGCTTGTGCAGATCGGTATAGAGGGCGTCGCAGATGCGCTTCTTGTTGTCCTCAATCATCCACCAAGCACGTTTCAGTTGACGACGCCTCCATCCCTTATTCTTGGTGGTGCCAGATGCAAAAGTACCCTGCACAATTTGATACGCCTGGAAAATGTAAGCGGTGATATTGAATAGTATGGATGATATTTACCTGATCAAATTCGGCCGTAGTGCTGAAACCCATGGTGAGCTTTGAGAGATGACGTGGAGAAGCCTCTGGGAGGAAGACGAGGGTATATGTGGGACGCCTACAAAGTACAATGCACAAGCGTTGAATCTGATTTACCGAGGACCCCGGCCCAAGACTACAGTTTATTTTATAATGTGTCTTCTATACTAAAGTCAGCACATATGTGGCAATCAACAATTCGGGATGACTTTATACCGACTTAGGGGTAAATATTACCCCGATCATATTTAGGAATATTCATCTCCCCGAGAGAGGTGGAGACCTCTTATTATCACACTATTTACTAAATATCACCCAGAAACCAACCAACATACCGCTCTCCGAAGACCTCATAGCCAAATGCCCCTCACCGAACAATTTTGTCGATAAAAACCATGCCTCATCCCACCAGCGCGAGGTTGCCCTTCTAAATTACGTATACAACCATCATGCCTTGGATGAACTACAGAACGTGGCTCACCTTCTGCTATCCTTGGCGCGATGGACGAGTTCGCCGCACAGGAGCAGTTTTTGTAGAATATGAATAGCCCTACAAAGTAGTTATAAGGTTGTAGATTCTTAGATTCCCAATCCAAACCCCTTTTGCCCTATCGATAAAACCAAAAGATAAAGGCCAAAGTGGATATTCCAATATTCCAGCAAATAGAACTGTATAAAAATACGAGGACCAATAAATACTTATCGCCTTGGCTCGCATATAACAGGGGGGAAATCCTCCACTCATGCGGGGTAAACGAAGAATGACTGCAATCTCAAGAGCTCGTACAGGCTGTTGGACATGCCGTGCACGACGCATCAAATGCGACGGTAATTTCCCATAAACTCCTGCATCAACACGGTTCTAATTAAAAATTGTTAGAAACCCATCCAATTTGCCGTCGTTGCGCCCGTAACAATGCCCCATGCGGATATGGACTTCGTTTGGTCTGGCATGAGGAATCTTTAGCCCGAGGCGTTTGCCATGGAAGAGCAGGGGTATGGTCTAAGCGAAAAGATGCTCGAAAGAAGGAATCACTAGAGCAAGTGGACGATCGATTACCGCTACAGTTGGAGCATACGGGTGCTGATCGGACCTGGATGTTTTTGAATACAACTATGATCGATCTGCAGATCCATTTTGATGGCACCCAGCCCAATTTCAAAGGAATGAAGCCGTTTTCTCAACCAAGCCCGTTGTCGCCTTGGCCGAATACCGTTTATCCTGGCCAGCGATTAGATTGCGATCCTGTGCTCATGTCTTATTTCGAACACATCATCTGCAGCAGTTCAACCCTCGTCGATAATGCACATTACAATCCATATCGATATCTCATACTACCCATGGCCCTGCAGTCCGAGGGGCTATATCATGCTGCTCTAGCCATCGCAGCCAATACCCTCAAGCTGTCAGATCAGCGGTACCGGCTTCCGGCATTGGAGCATCACCACCGGGCATTAAACCATCTGCGCGGTCTATTGAATAAAGATAACTGGGTTGAAAATGAGCTGGATGAGATGCTCGGTCTAGTCTTGATGTTATGTTGGTTTGACGTAGGATCTTCCTTGCTTCCTTTACGATGTGAATCTCCTAATTCCTTGCAGATATCAGATAGCAGTCGCCCGTCATGGGTCACCCATCTCAACGGGTTCCAAGATTTAATTCGAACACGAAAAGAACGCCCCAGTCGCTCATATCACAGTCAAGAATTGGCGAGTTTCTTCAATCGTTATTTCGCCTTCCACTTAGTTCTAGCCCGCACTGCGTTTCGGGTCACCTCTCCCTCATCCCATATATCGCCCCTCCTGCCGGACAGTATACTGGAAAAATCAGACATCATCGATCCATACATGGGGTTGAGCCCTGATCTCTTATTGATGATCGATCAAGTAGCCGAACTAGCATGGACTCGGGAGGATGGCAACATAAAAATCAACCGTAAAGATGTTCATCAACTCAAGACGGATCTCGATAGCCTTCAACAAAGAACACCCACAGAACATATCGATCCTAATATGGAGTGTGCTGCAATCGCAGAAGCAAACAGGCTCGGGGCTCTTCTTCTTCTGCACGAGATCTGTTCGTCCAAAACCCCTATTAATCGCTCCGGTATTCCTACAGTGGAATATGAGGAGAAGAATGTTTATGTTGAAAGGATATTGACCTTGATGTCAGAAAAGAAGGTAAATATGATGCGTACTGCAGTTACGCCTTTATGGCCTCTCTTCTTGGCAGGGTGCTGTGCTTGCAGGGAAGAGGAGAGGGTCACTGTGTTGCAGTTGTTTAAAGAGCTTGAGGGTATTCGTCGATTTGGGGTATCTATATTCTTCTCTGTCATTTCCTGATGGTTAACTAACATCTCACTGTTCCTCAGAACATTACCCCTGCGATTGAAGTGGTCAAAATGGTCTGGCGCCAGCGGGATCTGTCCGTCCAAGATGAAAGAAAACTCCAGAAAAAGCTCAATGCACAACGGCAAAAAGATCCTTTGCAAGAAACCCGGTTCTCGTGGGAGCATGCCATGGTCATGCTGGGTGGGTGGAAGCTCAGCTTGACTTGAGCCTCTACGTGGGTAATAAAGGCTTTTATTTATGTTCTCTTGTATATATCTAGGGAGATGGTCTCAATTTGTATAGCCAGTAGTCAAACTGTGTGTTAATTGTTCGACTTCATTCTACCTCGCACCTCTTATCTAAGCAACTCATAGTCTAGAAGCATGGCTTCTTTCACGTATCTGTCTACCCTTCCACCCTGTAAGGTCGCTCAGCTCCATTTCCGGATCCAAGTGCGCTAGGTTCTTCGCAGTACTCTTTTGTCCAGCCCTCCATTGCCATTGACGCACGATCTCTGGGTCAAGAGTGCCCTCAAGCAAATCTGCAACATATTTTCCAACCACAGGAAGGAACTTAAACCCATGTGCTGAGCCGCCGGTTGCCAGAAACAGACTTTTGTGAGTAGGATGAGGGGTGACAAGGAAATGCCGATCAGCTGTATCAGCATCCCAGCAAAGCCGTGTATAGCAGAATGTTCTGTCTGCAAGCTCGGGCAGCACGCGCCGCAAGTTCCGGCGCATTTGGGCTTCGATCTCAAGAGGGAGACCATCGGTGGGTGCCTGAACGAACGTGTGTGGGACGGAAGTGGTGATACCCGACTTTGTGGTTTGCACGTTGGTGATGAATTGGCTGTGAGCCATCTTGAAGATGCCATCTTCTTGAGGTGGGAAGAAGTAGCCCAGCTCGAGGTTATCCATGATGGGCATTGAGGCATAGTGTTTCGTTTCAGAAGGGGTGAGTTGGATATGGGCGACACTATGTCCCTTGGCAGTCAACTGGCCCTTCAAGTCTAGTAGTGAAGGTGTCCAAGCTCCTGCGGCCAGGATGACCACATCCGCCTCGTGTCTCGTGCCATCCGCAGTGACGACTCCCTTGCACTCGCCCGTGATATCATCCAGTATCAACTCTTGCACATTCCCCTTTGTCTTCCCTGAAATGTATTTCACCCCCTTCTTCTGAGCAGCGCCTGCCATCCGCTCGACAGCTGTACCAGCAGCTGCCCACCCGGCCGTTGGGTTCCAAACATTGATATTCCATCCATTCAGCTTCCCCGTGACAACAGAGAATCGAGCACGGATCTGGTCCGGTGTGAGCTTCTCAAGGCCCTGTACTCCAAGCCTCTTACATGTCTCAATCGAACCCTCGACAAAGGGCCGGGACAGGTTCGCCGCGCTGAGAATCCACCCTGGAACATGGTAGAGCCCACGAAACAGCGGCCAAGACCGCCACGCTTCGATAGACTCAATTCCAAGACGTGCATATAGAGGCTCGTTGTAGTCACTGCGGATGATCTTGCTGATATCGGTGGAGGCTGCTTCGCAGGAGGGAGGTGCGTATGGGTCCAGCACGCGGACGGAAGTGTAGCCGCGTTGTGAAAGGTGGTATGCGGTCGAAGTACCGAAACAGCCGGCACCGACAATGAGGATTCGCGTGTCTTTGTTCATCATGTGAGTTGAATTGGTTTCGTGACTCGATTTGACCCTCAAACTTTGAGGGTGGCGCTGCCATATTTATTGAGGCATTTTGCTCCGTCCTATTTCGCTATCAGCTTCCTTATGAACAATCGGATGCATAGTGAAGATACATGTATTCTCGTGTGCGGGGAAGAAATCTACCGCTTCGTTCTGACCTTCCGATAAAGATCTCACAGCTCGTGGTACTCGGAGATTCTCCGAGTGGAGAGTGCTCGTTTCGACCTGCATTATTTTACCCCAACATTTCCCCAACTAAATAAATTGCCCAGGTGCTTAATCTTTCTTCTTTCCATGGCTTTGGGATTGACAATTAAATTATTCAGAGACTAACTAACAACTAACACCTATACCAAAGATAACGTGTCCAATTGAGCCCTGTGGACGTCTTCTCATTTGTCGCTATATCCATACCCTTATCAACAGCAACCCACAACTCCGCACACATTCACTAATAAGTATACCGGAAAGACCGTTTTTCTTTATCGGTGAGATCCGAGAACGCAAGAACTTCCAATGTCTCCACATTTGACTGGGCTTCCTTATCACGGCGGTTGTTTTCCCATCGGCAAAGAACTCCATATGAAATAATGGCGACTATAGCCACAACAAGACAGCCCAGAAGACCCTCATATCCTCGCGAATACGATGGTGCATCACCGGAACGGAAACACTGGGGACCAATGATATTGCCAATACAATACGCCAAGAAGAAGATGGCGTTCATCGTCAACTTTTTGCTATGGCCGCTGGTGTTAGCCATTGGAAGTGAAGTCGACAGCACGTATGGCGCCCAGTAGGTGTAGAAGACATAATATGCTGCCAGCAGACCATGCTTGTTCTCACGTGGCAGCTTCCACATTAGGATGGCGCAGATCATGGGGACCAGGTTGGCCATGGCGATAATGTTGCAACGGGAGTTGGGCACGCTAGCAGCAATAAAGCCCAGCAGGATCTGCCACACTGTTGCAAGCACACCGGTGGGAATACCCA